TTCGGTACATCATTTAAAACGTATTCAAGATCCTTATTTGGAACCTTAAACAGCTGAAATATAGCATTAGATTGAAACTTGTGTAACTGAATGTGTCCTCAGGATACACAGTAAATTTAGAATGCTTGACCATAGATCATTGATATAACTCAGAAACGGCAAAGGATCCAGGCAAGATTCTTGGTTTGAGCGTATAAAAGTTTGGGATCAATTAACATCAGAGGGCCCAGAGACGATCCTTGGAGTGCATCAACATCAACTTGCAAATCGATCAACAGCAAGGCCCCTAGCCAAGCATCAAAGGTCTCAGAAACCATCTTTGAGATACATCGATATCAACTTTAAAAAGTTGAGAGTCGACCATCGGTAAAAATTTAAGGCAAGCTCCTTCAAGCAAGCCAACGCTAATGCTCAAAACTTTATGAAATCGACAAACAGAATTTAGCACACGGACGTCAACTATCAAAATTGACAAGCACCAAGAAGCCCAGGTTACCAGCATCAACTTTTAAAAGATTAGAGTTGACCAGCAGCAAAGAGCCAAGATAAGATCCTTGGGGTAAATCGACGTCAACTTTCAATAGTTCAGCATCAGACATTTTCAAGCACACCAACGTTGATGCTAAAGAATTTCGAATCAACAAACCTCAAACAACATATGTCTCAGGCAAGACCCTTCAGCAAACATTTTGAAAAATGCAAAAGCTTTCGTTTGACACTCTTCACAATACAAATCGTCAGAACATGAATAAAAAAATCTTGGCTTGAAAGTATGTATACATATCAACCTGTGCATCTAAACAGGCCAATCAGAAATACAAGCAAATAACTGTAAAGGCTGCCCAATCAGTGCGGCTTGCCTATTGAAAAGATTACCAACAAAGTTCTAAAATGAGAACGAATTTCTTCTATCTACACAATTATTTTTTATGCATTCTAAAACCGTTGGATTAGACGATGACCAAGCACTACCAATAATCCAAAACACGTATCAATTATAGTTTTCAACACAATCGGGATTTTTCAGCAAATGTCGGCACAATCTTAGTTTTCCAGTAGCAATTGTTTTTGATCTCTTTTCTCTTTCTCTCCTTCTCCACACTCTCCCGCAAGGCCCCATTAACCTACGCCTCATTTCCCTATCCCCAACTTGATGCTCTGGGACCAAGGGTATGAAACAGTGAAATAAGTCACATGTTGATCGTTTGTCCGTGACATCGGCAAGTCACAACTAAGCAGGCTCTGTAAAAAACATCCGAGTCAATCTCCACAAAGGTGCAAATATTTCCACAGGGTGATCAACAAAACACATTTAGCCGTCTCAGTTTTGATTAGAAATAGTATAACAAGGTGATCTGATATTGTTGCCAACATGTTCAAAATGTCTGTACGATTTGTGCCATTGGACCCCTTTTTTGTGCAATCTTTCCTTTTGGCCATTAAGGAATAAGTATTAGGGAAGTCTGGCTTGAAAGGAGGAGTTAAACTCTCATTTCTGCCGAAATAAGTGAAATATTTCGAAACAACACTTAAGCAATAGGGTGTTCGAAGGACGTTTGACGGGGGTTATAGGTTAGTAGAATAGGGGTTAAAGCACAGCCTTGTGAAGCACCTACTTTGGAAATAAGATTGGCTGGAATCAAGAATAGATAATCACCTCGATCCTAGAAATAAATGGATGATTTCTATATATTCTCCAATAGATTAGGTGGTTGCTGTTCCATCAGATTCTTGCCACTATAACATCATCAGAGTATATTCGGCGAATCTTGAGAATTTTCTCCATGGTACTGAGATGTTGCGAAGAGAAAGACTTTCTCTTTATCTTCGTAACTTTAAGTTAAGTTTACTATAAGTTTCTGTTGCATGTATCCAGTCAGAATTTGCAGTCAGAATTTGCATACATGTCTCTGTCTTTAAATATCTCCCTTTCCAAGGAACAAAAGTGGAACAAGACAAGAGCCTAGAGTAACTAAATTGTTTATTCAACTACTCCTACATCTCTGAATAAATATCTTTTGGTATTTTACACTCTGCTTTAAGAGTATCTGTCTTCTTAAAATAGTACAATGTGCTTGATTCATTTAGCAAAGCAGGTCGCAGTCCCAAAGATCATGGGATAGAAAATGCTTTCGAAATTGCTTGTTAAAAAGTAAACTTTGAATATACTTTGTTCAAAACCTAATCTTATTTAATAATGCCTTCTGATCTGATGTCATATGTTCTCTGTACTTTCCCTATAATATCTGCGATGATTTTTAGGTCGATAATTTGAAATAGACTGTGTACATTTTCAATTTTATATTGTTTTTCTCTTTTAAACTTGAATTCTAATTAATGTCTTGAATAAATCCAAAGTTTTCCCTCATCTACAATCTTTTAGACAGTAAGAGTGCAAGAAGAAGTAAAAAAAATGAGGAAATGACTCGAAACATAAGATATGAAAAATGAAATTCATGTTTGCAGATCATCCATAAAATGAGGGTCAAGTTTTCCCTACTTTCTACCTTCGTGTTTAGTTGAATTAAAAATTCCTGGCTTGTCTCAAGATTGGATTTCGAAGTTAAAACATTTGCGTACCAAACAGACAAATTTCAAGAAATCGTTATGCATCGAACTATTCACTAAGGTTCAGCGCACATTTTGGTTCACATTAGTTTCTTGCTATACTGGGGAGCTATTTTAAAGCCCTCAGCCAACCCTCCCCCCCCCTCAAAATTTGCCAAACGTAACTCATCAACAAATTTTTACCAAAAAGGCGCTAAGACCAGGCAAACACAGCACAAAATTTCAAGTACTGCTACTACAAATGAAACTTTAAAAGTATCTTCGATCAGTTTTTACTACCTCCACCACATAATATTGAATGGAGGAATCTTCGATCGTCCGCTCTTCTCTCGGCCTGCCCTTCCCTTTCTTTATGAATATTGTTCCAAACAATACTACCAATTTTTTCATTTTGGGTGCCAGTTGTAATTTTATAATGTTAACTAAAGAACCCACAGAATCTATCATAAGTAGGTCCCGTGATGGATTCTGTCTTCTTTGGAAGATTTCCTATTGTTTTTGGCATAGTGGATATCGCAAGGCCATCCTAGGCATATCGACTGACAAAATAAAACCGCATATAACTATTTGTGGCCAATAACACCCGCGTGCCCCAAGCCCAACACCCCTGTATTATTCACCGACATTTCATGCTCCAAAAGTGTGTCCGAATTAAAACTGTTCACAAAAGTTAGCAAAATGTTCCCGGTTACATTGTGGGAAAGATGAAAAAACCGAAGAGCTTTTTTGGTGGAAATAGTTTATTCAAAATTGCCATTTGATGCCAAACTACAATTGGTTACATGACTTCATCAGCGGTAAACAGGACCTGAAGTGACTTGTGTCAAAAAGCACTTGGCCTTCAGGGGCGCTGCGGATTGGGGCTTAGGGCTGCAGCCGTGACAACTAACTTGTAATGTATATTTTCCAAACAATATAAATAATATGGATACTATTTTAAGACATATTATAGGAAAACATTTAAAAATCACTGTAAAGTGAAACATTCGGACACCGTTCAGAGAGGAAGGCCTGCAAACAAATTTTCTAGAGAATTCGCCCTTAGGCCCCATTTATCGCCCCTTCGATAAGTTTCCATTTTAAAATCATTTTACATTTTTAGGCACGGTAACCCTGTTCGTTAAGGCTGTCTTACAAAATTGATTTACAATGACAATTCTATTGTGGATTATCAAGAGGGTGCTAGCAAAATGTTGGGTTCTAGCACAATGTTGGGTTCAGGGCTGTTCCAGAGATGCAGACCAAGGAGGAGAATGACCCTTGTCTGCAAGTCGTGTTCATATAAATGACGTCCAAGTCAGTCTAAGTGCTCCTTTACTTGACAGAATACAGAATTTGCTGTGGAGACTAACTAGCGAAGCTCTTCAAATGAGAGGGACTAGATTACTAGCCCACGTAAACCTTCTATTACACGTGCAGAACCCTGATAAACCAAAATTCTTCTACTCGAACCTGGTCAATTGTTCTACGAACAGGAGAAGAAATATGCATACTAAAACATTTTGTATGTATTTGAAGGTAACATTATAGATATCACCAAATCAAGGCATATACACATTTCAAGTTAGTCCAAAAGTTTGCAAAAGATTTTTTAAATCAAAATAGGTATTAATCTGATGACTTAAGTTTTGTTTTAAAGGACATAAGCACAAAATAGATTTCACAAAACTTCCTCACAATGCATGCACGAAAGGCTAAATAAAACTGCATTCAAATGCCACAATCACATGACAAAGATTGCATATTTCAACATCACAAAACATTCAGTGTTATCAGAGAAGAAGGGAACACATTAAAAATTTGGTCAGGAATTTCTATAAATTCCCAAAATTTATATATATGGTCAATTTCGTGCACTAAAAAAACAATTCTATGATATTTTAATTAAAAATCTAAAGACAATATGGTGGTACTAACACAAATGAAGTTCATTAAGTTATTCTGAGGAAACATTTTTATCACTTTTAAGATATATATATTTTTCAACTTCACAAGAATTTAAAAATACAAAAATCAACTGAAACATCCGATTCAAAAGAAAAATCAAATTCAAGAGAAACAGCATGGGAAATCAAGAGAACATCCAACGTTTGAAAATCAGCAGATGTATTATTAACAAACGAAAATGAAGAAACAGAGGTGTGTGTATACAGAAGAAAGGTTGATTGATTTCACAAAATGATGATTTTGTTAAGCAAAACAGAGACCAGTTTAGTTAATGTGTGCTATATGATATCTCAAATGATTATAAATGAAAATATCATTAACTTGCCATGGAATATATAAAAAAATTATCTGTGATAGGGTAAAAGTTATGTAGATGTACTGAAAAACTTTGTGATGTCTGGTTGTGAACTTCCTTCTTAGTATTTCTGCCTCAAGAATTTTGCTTAAGCCCGGGATTTGGGGGCATAGATATTTTTGCAGTGTAAGCAATGATCTTTGCTTTGCATGAGTTAATTTCTGGGTCATGCTCAATAGCTCTGAAATTTAACTTTTTTGAGGGACCCCTATCAAAGGTGGGGCAGGAAGAGGGCCGCATGGAGGTTTATCATCTCAAAGTCACAATAAAAGCTTGTGTTCTTGATTACATATGAGTATTAAAACAATTTTTAAATAAATTTGATTGGATAGGAAAATTTGGAAAATAAAAAACATTGAAACCAAGCTAAAAACTACAAGAACTAAATTATAGGAAATCTAATGCAAAAACCAACAAAAATGCCACACAGTTGAATTAAAAAATAAGATAATGGATAATATTTTAAACAAGAAAATTTCATTTAGTGTGAAAAATCAATATTATTTCAACAGAGAGTGCAGTGATGATCCTAATACTGTTTGGAACATGGTTGTGCTATTCAAAATACCATGGTAGAGCCGATATGTGGATGGCTTAGAAAAAGTTGAAAAATATATATTTAAAAAACACAAAAAATAAGACCAATGAAAAAGAGAGTTAAATGGCACTTTGAATTCAAAAATTCAATCAAAAAATTTCAATTTTTTGTCAAAACAACATTCCAATGAGCAAGAGGTTTCTTAAAAAGAACAACCATGATAAATAAATTCAGGATGAAAATGTACAGGTCTAGTTCAGACTGTTGGCCTTTGTATATGTTCAGAGTACACACACCTTTTTAATTTTGAAAAGGCCTTTTCAAATTTGGCTTGGTTAAGGTGAGTGGAGTATCCACTAAAATTGAAGAAAAATGGGCTTTAACTATATGTGTCAATGCACATTTCCCTGTGCAAACAGTACTCAGCAGTCTGAACAAAGTATACAATTTAGGAACATCCACATTAAATGCACAGCCATGTGCCACAGTACTAGAATTATCCTACCCTGTTATTTAGTCAGCCTCAAACTTAAACCACATTTATACTAACAGACCCCAATGGCTACAGATCTACTTTTGATCCAATCCAATTATTATTGGTGTTTTTAGTTAGAATGGGTCCAAGCACTCCATGTTTACAGTGGAACATTGCTGGATAGCTTGAAGCAAAGCCATAATAGAAATTATAGACCTGGGGATTTGTGCTCACCCTGTTTGATGAATTGTTTTTTATCATTCGAAAAACATGTTTCCATAGTTAGATAAAAATGTTTTGAAGATACAATGTTTATGCATATTGTTTGCTTTTTCGTGGTAATAAAGGTTATAAAACACTGTAACTAGCCAATGATCATAATTTTCTTGTTTCTGATCTGTTCCCATTTGTACCAGATGTTTACATTGTATCTCAAATGAGACAGATCCCAACAACTACACCAGAAAGAGCGATCCCAAAATGGTATGGATAGCAGATCCATATTGGATCAAGAAAGTCCATTGAGATAGAATGCCTACCTGCATTTGTTTTGGCATGAGCCTGAATGGTTCCACAACATATATAGTTAAGAAAAAATATCTTAGAACTTTGTAACTGTCCTTTATTTTCTCTGCAACATGTGTTATTATTTGTAATCACTTGATGTGTAGTGTCTACCAGAAATTTTCTTTAAAAAGAAATTGACAAAAATGAAGCTGCTGTTTTGTTACAGCTCATGGCTTAGTCAAAACAGAGCATATTCATGAAATATTAATGCAAATATCATAGGAGGATGGGGACACATCCCCCAGCTTGGCACAAATGCAGTAGCATAACTCTCTGCAGGGTGTCCCCCTTCCATACCATTCATGCTGATAGGGTTTGGGTCAGGATCAGTTTACTAGACATGGCCACTGCTAAGTGCTAAATGACAAACCCTCAGACAAAACATTACATTGCAAAAACAAGAAGTTTCCTGCCACTCAAGAGTGCTAAGTTGGCAAATTTTGAGACTTATTGCCAAACAAAAAATGGCTCGTCAACTTTGTCATAAATGGGACCTGGAAACCCCCTGTGAGCACAGTGCCTATTGATAAGCCTTGTATTAGAGGCATGCTAGTGCATCAATGCCTTCCACTTTTTGGTAGGATCAATTTTGTAATTTTTCTCTTTTGGTGAATTACTCATGAATTGGTAAAATGCCTTGCTTTGATAGAAAAAAGTGTGTTGCGTGAAAAATTAAATTGTGGCCCTAAACCTTGACACTTGGAACCAACACTATGAACTTCAAGAAAAATATTGAAAAAATTTGATCAAGGGTTAAATTAACAATTGAGTAGCATATAACCCTGGACTATTCGACGTTAAAATTTACAATTTAATGAATATCATTTTAAGATAACTCGATAATTACCAAAGTCGTTATGGTGTTGATTGGACGCTAAGCATTAGCAGCATCCAGAGCGTTTCCCTTCCACTGGGGGCTCGTCTCTGCGATGTTTATTCAAATTCACACTGCTGAAACCGTTCCCTTTCATTTGCTTGTCTAATTGTTGCTCAATTTTCATAAGTCTCTCTACAGATGCAACAAAAGCTAAATCGACATTAGTTGCATCTTTCGCGCTCGTTTCGTAGTAAGGAAAAGAGTTCGAACCGCACCATTTCTCTGCCTCCCCTCGTTCTAATGCCCTATTTGGCAAGTCGATTTTGTTTCCCAGAACTATGAAAGGAAAATTATCTGCATCTTTAACATCAGCATAGTACAGGAACTCATTCTTCCAAGTTTCCAAATTAATGAAGCTTTGGGAGTCATCTACAGAATAAACAAGAATGCAAATATCTGATCCTCGGTAAAAAGGAGTTCTCAAGCTTTTGAAACGTTCTTGCCCTGCCGTATCCCAGATTTGCAAAGTGAAAATTTCACCTCCGACTTTAACGTCCTTGTTCAGAAACTCTACGCCAATGGTATGGAACGACTGACTGTCAAATTTGTTGTTAACAAACCTATTCATAAGAGCACTTTTCCCAACTGCGCCATCTCCAAGAATGACGACTTTTAAGAAGTTTGGTTTACCAGCCATCGCACCTTCTTTCTAGGCCAGAAGTTCTTTGAAAATGCTCGTGACGAAGTAAACTAGCCTCCTTCTCAAAAGTAAGGGGGTGGTGACACCTCCCCCTTGAAAACAAAGGTTACTTCTTGAATTCAAGAAGCGCAACATTGACGATAGAAATTAAAATGTATGCATTATAATATTTAACGTGAATTACAAGCTAAGTTTGAAAAATTGCTTTTGGTTTTGTTCAGAAATCAAAAGTAAAAAAAAAATCTAAATTTAACCAATAAAGAAATGAAAAATAGTAAAAACTTGCAAATTTTTAAGAAAATATTTCCTTTTTGAGCCTGAAGTATTCTTAATTTTTTAAATCTGATATGGTTTTAGGGTACAGCACACGCTCTTGAATTAAAAACACGTTTTTCTGAAGATCGAGATATGATAGTTCTGCAATTCCCTGTTACGCACAACCCAAAACAGGCAGCTATTGAAAAATGAGACACAAATATGCAATCTGAGGAATATTCTTATGATATTCAATTTTTTGGGGCTTAAAAATTGGATGGTTCTGAGCCTTAATATTCCTGTAAACAGTATTCCTATAAAATAAAGAAAGTGTAATCCGGAATATTGTCATCCGGAATCTTTCTTTGAATAGCTCTTAACATGATTTTTTCAAATTTTCTAAAGCTCTTCCTTCATAATAACTTGAAATTGTAGAGATTCCGTCTCATTTTGTCCACTGGCATACGCCCTTATGGTGGAATGTTTTATTGCAATGGCTATAGCAATTTTGTTTTCTAATAAGTGCATTTTTTAGAACTGGATCTTCAAGATGGAGCGTCCTCGCTGTCCATTTTCTGTTATCAGCTTCAAAGTAATGACTAGGAAAGAGTTTCAATCAATGGGGAAGGCAGATGCTACATCCCATATGCTTACATCATATATAGAGTGGATCCAATATCAAGAAGCACCGACCAGCAAAACATGATTGATAAGATAGTTAGCAGCTAGGAAATGAACTTACGAACATGGCTTGACTTGATCTGCAACACATATCTGGAAATTTGTTAGAAAACCTTGCCTATAGGGCCTTTTTCTATGGAAATTGGTGCCTAGTTTTTTGAAAGCACCACTAACAATGTGAACTTTTTTCTGTTTTCTATTTGTAGGAAAATCTAGGGCTGTCAGGACAAGATTGAAGTATTAGGGTTGATGTTCTGGTTTTTTGTAGGGAACGAAGCGAACGAAAGATTAGAAACTGAACACGAAGAAAGTCTCAAGAAGGAAATCCCGAAAAAGAAAAATAAAAAAAGACTTCAAAACACTCGGGTTAAAAATCCTTTTGTGGTACAGATATTCAAATTGACTTTGTAAAAACAAAACATTTTGAAACATGTTACTAAAGCTTTTCGTCTGACACTCCTCAGTGTATAAAACGTCAGACCATAGATTGAAATCTCTACGCTAGGAAAAATACTCATTAATAGCTTAAGAAATACAGCTATGGTGGCACTCAAGTGACCTTGTTTTAAGAATCCATTCGAGCCCTCGTCGTTACGCATTACGCTACGTATTAACTCGGTATTAAATTCATATCCTTTGATCTTTCTACAGTCCTCTTGCCTTATTCGACTTGACTACTTCATGTTAGCTTTCAGCAGACGTTGAACATTGAGTCTTTTATTTATTTAGAACTCTTTCGGTATTCTAACCTGCAACTCAGGGAAGGGATAGCCAATTTTGCTCTCACTTCGTGTGCTGCAATCAACCTGACACAGGAATTATAAATACTGTTCTTGTTCTTACCCAAACCATATTTCCTCTAATGAATACCGCCCTCTATTGAACGCCTACCTGCAGCCAATCATTTGGAAAAGCGCCGCCCTCCTTTGAACGTGCCTTGTCAATTCTCAAATATCAAGCCTTTGAAGTTTCAGATCAAAGAGAGTTTCAGAACTAGAGGACCTTTTTATAGCATATTCATATAGCATATAGCATATTCATCATTTTGAAAATGAAATAGCTGACCAATTTTTGGAGGTTTGGTTATGACGGACTGCAACGCCTTGCAGCTGCTAGCCAGTGGCTTCTAGCCAGTTGTTGAACCTAAATTGCTCCAATTTGAAATGCGATTTTTACAGCTGTTGAGCATATATTAATGTGAAATACCGGAAAATTACATCTCTTAAAAATATCTTTCTGCAAAATGAAAAGGAACAAAACCTCAGTTAGAGGCTGCCAATCAAAGTCGACTAACGTATCGACACTCGCTTCAGATTCAATAAAGCCGAAAGGAAATTCTGCTCTAAAAAACCGAATTAGACAAAATTGAACAGGCAAATGTCATTCAAGTCCTGCTCTGGTAGCATTTCTGTTTCTTTATTTACCTTCTGAATCGTCTCATAGCAATGGCGGTGAGATAGGAGGGGCAATTGCGAGTCTGGTAACAGGGGGTTCAGGGGTTAAAATCGGGGAAATTTTTGCAGACTACACCCTTGGGACTTTGGGAAAACACCCCATCTTGTAAATGTCTTTGAAAAATAACATATCGTTTATACGTGGCAATGATTGGTTAATCTAATAAAGTAACAGGCAGATGTAGCTTTTTGTGACTTGCTCTTTCCATTCTACTGCTGGCTATTCCTCACAATTCCTCTAACATTTTAATTTCTGAATCTTGTCAGGCAAGGAAGGTCTACGCGTAAAAGCAGATTTGTTAAAGTTGCAAGCAAATATCTCAAAATAATGAACAGTACTCATCAACGCCAACTGAGTTGTGCCTTGGTATTTGTATCTGCTACCTAGGATCTGAATGTAGATTTTAAGACACTGAAGAACTATGCTCCGCGAGCAGCACCATTGTTCTTCCTCTCGATCTGACCACCACTCGCGATTCCCTACCCCTGGAACTGCTGACAACTGAGTTAAATTTTGATAATGTAAGGGACTCGAAGCCCCAATTCCTTTGACCTGCAGCCCGCTTTGCTAACCACTGAGCCATCCTCACACCAATACAAACATGGGTATATTAACCTGCGTAACCTTTTGCAGTGACATTTTGCCTAATGTTCCACGGTATTTTACTCTAAATTACTTAAAAACCACATAAAAACACTACTATACCTAATCATTTAATATCTTGCCATCTGCAACACAGTTTGCAGAAATGAATTTTGAAAACCTGTCAAATTTAACACTATGACGTCAATATGACGTCAAATTATCCTTATCCTCACCCTTCGCAAAAGTTAAGTTTGAGAACCGATTGTGCAATTACTAAGTTTACCAATGACTCTTATTATCAACGCCAAGCATGGTGGATTCCAAAGCTACATTTTATTTGACAATGAAGCCTTTTCAAGTAGCAATTATGGGACACAAACACACCTTTCCCTCAGCATTGGTTGGAAAGCGCACTGGGCAATATCTTAACTACTGAAAATTTTCTAAAGCAAGGATAGTAGATCGGAAATTGATTACAGCTTAAAATGGGTATTAATTGCGGAAGTTTACGAGGACTTAAGATAGCTAAGTACCAAACCTCGGACAAAACAGCATTTCAGGAGTAAAAGAATAATACACAGAGAATTCCTTCTTCGACATTTTTTCAAATTCACGAAAGAAATAGTGCGAAATAAACCCCAAACCCCTATTAGCGGTTTTATTTTAGCTACACCAACTTAAATTAAAATGATAATATTCTTTTTTGCATTATCTATGACATAGAAGTTTTTTTTTCAAAAATTTTATTCTTTTGAATTTTTTATGTTTATTTACGACACGTCCATTTTTTTGTGTTTTCTTCTTTGCTTGAATCAAACGAACAACAACAACAACAAGATCAGTGGTATCTGCATACAACCTAATGTGTGCAAATCAGATGTGTCCAATCACGCGGGTAAATTTCGCAAAACTGGCCGTGAATTTCTTCAAATGCGTAAACTTTTGACTATTTTACTGCGCACCATACTTTTTCCATCTTCCAAGCACTGCGAAGCACCACTGTCACGGACACGAGGTCGCTTTGCAGCTGGTAAGATGTCATCAGCATCGTCATAGCAACGTGGAGTATGGATGTCGCTTTTGGACTTGTTCCGGACGTCTTTTGAAGGGGTCAATAAAACAGACTGGTTGTTGATGGTATTTTTCACACTTCGCAGTGCTTCTCTTTCACAATACTGCGAGTACTCACGCTCAAATGGGTTTTCTATGATAGGTGACAACGTTGGACATTTTGAAACATTTTGTCGCCTTCTTGATCTAGGATGTTTCTTTATAAGTGCAGCATTCTTAACAAGCTCTCGGCATTGTAGGAAGTCGATAGTCGTTGTCTAAAAACAAATTTAATAGATAAAATTCACAATTATCAAAATCTATAATAATTAAGATTGAATAGACTTAAAATGACACGCAAAAATCAGAAGGAAAACTCATTTATTTTGAAGACGTTGCATACTCCAGTTTCTTTCAGAAATTCCAACACTTACAGTTTTTTAAGAGCTTCTCAATTTTGATGCAACCATTCTTAACGTCGGGGGTCCTATATTTCATCATAGCTAGGAAAATTTCCAACAGCACTTGTTGGGTAGGGTTTTTGCAACTGCAAACAAAGACAATTGTCGATGATTCTACTGTTTTCAAGAGATTCGCACCCTTTCTAATGCTGAATATACACTAGGGTATCAAAAGTATTGCGCATGAATGAGGAGAAATGGCGCATGAATGATCGAAAGCTATTGTTTTGCAAATTAATTCTGTTTTTAGAGGGCCAATGGCAATTGGTCAAAAGCAAAACAAACCACCAATCAAAACTTCAATCTATTTAGAGCATTTATTTGAAAAATGACAGTAGCAAACGTCCTTTAACAGTTTCAAATTTTTCCCGCCGAAATTTGCTACAAAATACGCCTATTTCACCCAGTTCTTGCATTAAAATGTTTTGTACTGCCAAAAAGTTTGCAAAAAAGCCGCCACTTTGAACAAGGTGGTGCAATACTTTTGATACCCCAGTGTTCTAGATGGGGGATGAGAAGATCAATAAATCTTCATGCCAATCTTACTGGTAGGCTTCTCACGAATTTCTTAATTTTCGACAATCGCCCAGAATTCCTTATTACGGGTTTCTTTTAAGGATATAAGTGCACTGGCATTTGTCACAATTGTACTAACAACAATGGGAGTTGTGATAAATTATTTTGATTGTGGATATCGCTACAGAATGAAACGTAATCAGAACAGTAAATCAGATCTCAGAAAAATTGCTAGTCTTCCCTCTGAAAAATAACCTTGCGCCTTGAAAGCTTTAAGTGTGGCACTTAATTTTTTTTATCATCCCTGGCCTCTCGCACTGTCGATAATCGTTGGACTACCATGTTTTCTGGTCGCGGCAGTGAATGAAATGAAAAGCTGAATACAACAGGATAATAGCCAGTTTTGCCTACATTGACTAAAATGTCTGAGATCGCTTTATAAAAAGCTCAAATATGCATCGGTTTTAATTTAAGAAACATACCTTTACAATCTGTATGATCGGTGCATTGACAGTGAACCAATCAGGAACGATGCGTGCCACGACCACACTCAATACCGAGACAGCCAAAGTTGAGTTCTACAATGGTTAAAAATTAAACACATAAAACAAATAAAAATGATAAAAATATGTCTTCTTTGCTAACGATACCCGATTTGTTCAATGGTTGCAGAAGTAACTACAAAGTCACACTTAAAGAAACAATGGTTTTGCCAAGTTTTTAATCGTTTTTCATTGTAAATTTTCACAATACAAATGTAGCCCTCCTTGTAGTATGTAATTTGTAACCGGATTATTCTAATTTCAGGAAAAGATTATAGTTCTGTTTCTACAAATTATATTTGAGACAGACCTTTTTTCAAAATTAAATTTCTTAAGAGAGGCTTACTTGACATGCAGAATAACATTCAAAAACAAAAACATTTGAGATCTAAAAAGCATGATACAAAAGATATTCGATCAACATACAGGAACTTACATTTGCGTCCTCTGAAAAAAGTTCCAAACAATTGGTCGCTTTTTTAAGAAAGAGTGGTCATTAGAGAGGGGGGCTTATTCAAAAGTCGATGGCAAAAAGGGTGAAGCTTATCTAAGAAGGGGCTTATTCATGGATAGGAGGGCTTAAGCGAATATTAAGCGAATCGGTAACATAGACACTGCGAGTTACATAACCACTCTCAATAATAAGACCACAGAAAATATACACTGTTTGGGAGAGTAATATAAGCAATGAAGAATTTTGACCAACCTAAGAAAGTGTACAAATATGAGCTTGATATGAGCATACCTTATATCTTGAGAATTTGCCAGCACAAATACAAAGCTGCAACAGATTGCAGAGTTCTTCAAAAAAGGCATCAGATTGAACTTCCTTAAGATATGGCATTCCTTTGTGTTCCAGGGAGAAGATATCAATGACCTAATGAGGAAGAAAATAAAAAAAAATTGATTGGCACCAATACTCATACTTAACTGACCTGAAAAATTAACGAAGAAAAAACATAAATTAGAAGATGGCACGAAATAGTGGAAACATCGCATACTGAAGCACTTTTCGTTGTCCGACACTCTCCAGAATATAAACAGTTAAAAAGCAAAAATCCCTATTCTCAATTAGCTCTAAAGCGTGAAACTCAGGGTTTTCAACAATTAGCTCTGGATAGAAATAACTAGATTTTGTGAGCTATGTATATTAAATCTAAAATGCAGTACTAGAAATGCAAAATGCAGTTAAGGCCCAGTTATGCTACAGAAATTCTGCTAAGGTGGACTGGGTTTTTTTATTTCCAACCACAGAAGGGAAAGGGATAATGTGTTTTTGAAATAATTTTGGGCTAGCCTTTTTTTAGAGTAACTTACGCTGTATTACTGCAAAGTACAGGAGCCTATTCCAGGGAGAGGGTGGAATAGTTTTGCATTTCAAACATTTCAAAGAGGGGGGGGGGGTATTTTGGAGAAAAACAAAGAATATATCCTGGACGAGTTTTCTTTTTTTAACTTATGTATGCTTAGGTATGGTTAAACAAAAAGTAAATTGGGATACATCATATTTGATGGAAAAGCTTGTGCATGGTTTAAAATACTGATAATAAGCCTCATTGTTAAACTTGAGGGCTCATTTACATGGTTAAAAATACTGATAATAAGCCTCATTGTTAACCCACATGAGGGCTTTCTTAAAGGGTGGGGGCTAATTCAAGGGTGAAGGGTTTTTAAGGATAGGGTTTTTTTCAAAATAAAATTTTTGAAGGATGCTTTTTTGAGGGGGGTGGGTCTCACTAAAAGGTACAGCCTTGTAATATGGGATACTTTTTAGCCAGGCCCATTTTTCAGTAAGAGAGACGCTTTCATGTGTTAATAAATCATTAAGTGACCCAATTTCATTTTGCCAGTAACTGTTAATTAATGCCAAGGGTTTTGAAACAAACAAACATTCTGAAGGTTCAATGAGAAACACTGAGTTGAACTATTCAAATGCTAGTTTAAAATATATATACATGATAGATTTAAAAAAAAAGAAATTGAATAATTAGCACAGTTCAAGAGTTTCTTACTACAAAAATTTTGATATGTAGTAGGTATGTTTTTGTCTGTATCACTCAAATCTAGCTTAGATGAAATCAAATTGATCTGATTTCATCCCAAGGATACCTAAACCTTCCTTTTCATCTAGAACATAATTTAAGATGTGCTATGAAATCTTGGGATGAAAATTACAAGCAGCTTTGGTACCATTGTGCCAAAAAGACACATTTTTCAAAGTTTATCTGAAAGCTACTGAATGTCAACTCTTTGGAAATTGTAAAAGACCCAAGAATACTACTAGTGAGAACAACTGGAAACATTTTTGCTTACGGAGGGGCTAGGGCCTGGAGTGACCAAGATAGTGGTGTCAAACCTTCTTCATACTTTTACACATTTTGAAAAAAATTTAAAGCACAAATGTGAATCCATCTCAATCATATATTAAAGTGTACCAAAATGTATAGTGACAACAATTTCAAAATTATTGGGCAAGCAAGATCGCCTTTTCTTTTAAGAGTTTTGGAATCTGTTTACATGAAAACAAAGGATCCCGACTTTGTGGAGACAGAAAGATTTGTTTTTTCTCTTGGACTAGCAGCCACTGATTGGAAAAAACAAAACAAATCAAAAGGTTCTTTCTTCTTTTCACATTTTGTTTGATCCACACTTGGATATAAATTCCCTGCTTATTTTTGGCCATTATTTGATATTTATACTCTGAAGAGTGTCAGACAAAAGCATCAGTATGCAATGCTTCTACTATTTTATGCCATCTTCTAATTTTGTGATACTGAAAAGTTATTTCGTTTTTTGTGAAGATTACAACAAATTAGCAAGAAAATTTATAACTAATTGGCTGCTTGTCATCAATCATGCCCTTTATAGTTTTGCGACAGCTCATGAAACTAAAGGGGAGCAGCGGTCTATCTGCAAATTGTAAACCCAAATTGAAAAATATTTTGCTAATGTGCTTTATAATTATATTATGGTTAGGATCCTTTATAAATTTATTTATTTCATTTCAGCATTTGTCACTGTGAATAATCCAGCATACAAGCAATGGGTGGATCATCATAGACTAAAAAGTTAAAATGAAAAGTAAGGGCACAAGATGAAGTGACTTTTTCACAAGGGTCTATATAAGATAGTACTCACAATATCCAGGAAGTCGTATGTAGTTGGTGATTTGTTGTCAGATCCAAGTTTTGTCAGTATTATGTTCTCCATTCTATTTGCATCTTTACTGCTGAAACTACAGTTTCCTCTCTCAATCAGAAGCTCGATGCTTGGCACATCCTAAAAATGAGCAGGTATAGCAAAATTTGGCAAACAAAATTCAGAGAGTCCTTAGGTCCAAAAATTAATATAATCTTGAGTCCTGATCAGGTGTGGGGTCTATAAAAAATGGGGTGGCTAAAAAATCCCAAACTTCTAATAAAACATGTTCTAGGATATATGAGCTGAGTAGAAAATTTCCCAAATAATAATAAATGGGGTGAATGGCTAGCAATCCCTTTAAATTGGAATTAAATTGGTTTCTTAAATTAGATAATATCTATTTATGACACAAAAGTATAAAAATTGTCTAATCTTAATATTGTTTTCACTCTCTTTTTTATTTTGATGCACTTCCTTACATTTCATTGCAAAAGTAACAAGGCTAAACAATAACCAACAGGGAATCGGAATTAGGGAGTCACCAATAAATTTTTTCAAAAAATTAGTAAGCTATGGAAGGTTTTTAAAAACTTAAGAGTGTGCATTACCCCTTATGAGTTAATTTAGAAGACAAGAATTTTTTGACCAAAAATGTTGTATGTAAACTCTTGATCATTACAAACAAAGTACCATACAGGTGGTTGACAATGTAAAAACAACAGGTCTAAATTTTAACCAGCAATAAAACTTGGAAAATACTGCCAAATTTCAAAATGATAAAACTGCTATTAGACATTTTCTAACATATCAAAAAGGCATAATACAATTTAAACATATACCTTGTCTGGCATGAGCAATTTCAGTGCCACATGGTATGAAGCAACAGCAACACATTTCATGTACCTCCATTGTACCTGTTTGATTGAGAAGTAAGGTCATAAGCAACTGAAAGTTCCTAACAAATATATAAAAAATTGCTGGCTAGGAAAGTCTTCTCATGAGTGATGTAGACCATCTTCTTTGAATGATTAAAAGGAAAGTGGATTGAGTTTAATAATTCATTGCAGATGCTCTATAATCCAAAAACTGGGGAAGACTAATTGACCAGGACACTAGCTTGTCTCCCAACAAATATGTATGTTTGAGAAAGTCAAAATGATAGTCAAAGATATCATATCCAACACAAAAAAGGCTATCTAAAATGCATCCTTGTCTTCATCAGGAGTTGTCATGATAGATGACAGATGACAGATGCAAAGTCCCTTTTCATCTCAAAACTGGCAGATGTGAAGTCCATTCATTATGCCTCTTTGCAACAAGGTAAATATTTTTAATAGCAAAGATAAATTATCAGTAAAGGCAAGAAAATAAATCATTTTTGATCAAAAACATGAGACAAGTTGCTATTTTGCAATTCCCTAAAAAGCACTAGACAAAGCCAAAGTGTACACAAATGGGTAGGGCTGCAGAAAATACCAGCAAGCTGGACATTTTTTATACTTTATAGGGATAAGCTTTAAAGTTGGAAAATGGCTATATCTTGTGACAAAGTTCTTCCAAGAATACATACAAAGAAAAATTGTGATTATGTTAATATCTTTGTTGTTATTTGTGATAATGTAATTGTAGTTATTTAATAAGCATTTATAAATATAGATTTGATGAATAAAAAGCAAAATATTTTACCTTCACAATTCCTAGAAATCTATCAATCACTTCAACAGCTTGGGCAAGTACTTGTACATCATGGTCAAGTTTTTTGCTAATCCACCATAACCAGGATACAGCTTGGCAACGCTCTTTCCATCCATTACAAGCATTCTTTTAAAGATAAAGTTTGTAGTTAAAGATAATGTTTTAGGATGGCTGAAAATTGATATAGGATATAAAGAAGAGGGTGCTTATTGGTGACAAGAAAGCATGAATATAAAAAGTCAACATAAGCAAAAGATAAAATTAATGCCAAACATGTTTTTTGCAGTCTGCATTTATTATCATTGATAAAAAAACATTGCTCCTTTCATGATTTTTTGAAGTGGTAATTTTAAGTGGCTATTGAGAAAACCCTAGCAAGGAAATTAAGGCTAAGACAAGAGATAGGTGAGATCGAGTTTGTTGATTTTCATCCTTGAAAGATTAGATTTAAAGGGAGCATCAACTTGATTTCTGACACCACACAATAGTTTTTCTTTAAGAATTCTCAAGATTCTTCAATACAACAAATTTCATCATGACAAATTTTGGTTAAGATAGGTTAAGAATCTGAAAGCAGAAGGCATTCCACAATTTACAAGTAATTGGGAGGCACAATGAGTTGTGGGATAGAGTTTGTGAGATTGGCAAAGATGGGGCTTAATAGTGTTTATTTTTAAGCAAAGGTTTTGTTATTTAAGTAAGATATATTAGCAATTGGCTTTTGAAAGCATTTGTCTTGCTGTTTTTAGGCAATTCATGTATTGCAGTATGAGGTATAGGTACATGTGTGTTTTGAGAACTGTCAGTGCTTGAGATTTGTATGTATCAGATAATAATAACCAGTACGACGACAAAGAAAAAAGACATCATGTATTCATCAACTTCTTGCTACATCATAGACAATTCCGATTAAGACAAATCTATTAAGACCATTCCATTAAGACAGTTCCAATTCAGGCAAATTCATTACAACAAGTCCATTAAGCTGCATTTTCCAAAATCTCAATGTATCAGATATTGTAAAAAATTAATAATAGCAGTTTATGTCTTTGTCGAAAATAACTTGTAACATTTCTTGTTAGTCTCAATTAACAAAGCTTTGATAATTGTAGCCCTGATATTGTAGAAACCATACAAAGCAAAAGAAACTGCTTCTACTGACTACCAATCTTAAATGACAATTTTTGTCTGCCAAATGTTTACTTGGTCTTATTTCCCAATTTTCAATATTGCTAGAATAAAAATTGTATCTCCTTTTTAAAAACCTTTATCTTTAAACATCCAGACAGTTATTTCAATTTTAGAGTAAACAATTGTGAAATGATCATTTTTTATTGTGCAGGTCATTTGCTATTCAAACACCTTGAAAGTCCAGGTATCACTGGTTATATAAATTCCTTGTAGGTCTATCCATGTATGTTTTTGGCTTTAGTTTGTGGCTCTTCCAAAATATAACATATTAAATAAACAAGGGAAATAGATGAATAATTATTAAAAACTCAAAATAGAATTTAATCGTTTAAGTTTCCTCATCAAGTTGAGGCAGGTGTTTATAAGATCGATTTCGCAATGGTGCTGTTCGGTCAAACGTGAACAGAAACCTACCTTAATTTTCTCTTCAAATACAGCGTCTTCCCTTTCCAAAAGTCCGTTCAAGCTAGACAAGAGCCTACCACATGTTGAAGGTTGAGATAGCATGGTGTTTGGTTCGATTCATCCCTTGTTAATACCGAGTTGGGAGGAATTTTTCACCCCACTCAATTCTCGGTGTTCGGTACGTACAGTTGTCGAGTTTGAAAAGGATATTTCAGTGTTTGCGTCAGGACTCGAAATGGCAACAGCCTCGTTACCATTTCTTCCAGAAAAATCCGCGAAATCTAAATGCCCCAAAAAATTTCGGACAAATTTTTTTGACGAAATTTTCTTCGACTAGATTTTAAATGAGACGTTGTATCAAAAGTATTAAAGAATGTATTAAAAAATCTTGAGAATTCGCAAATAAAAACTATTGCGTGGTGTCAAAAGATCAAGTCGATGGTTAATGCAATCGTCATCGTAAATTTCGTCATAATCATCATTGTCGGTTCTTCAAAAGCTTAATTTCTAAGAAAATATTTCTAGGCCTCGCTGTCATTTGTCACTGATTTCAAAAGATTCCGCCACTGTCTTGTTATAATTCAACTGTACTATTTTTTAGACATTATAGCTTTTTAAAATATATTTTGCAATCTATAGGTAGTTTCTGAGTTTTATACCTATATTAATCCTTATACTTTTGACTTTACTCTGTTTATAGACTAAGAGACACTTAAAGTACTAAAAACATCTATGTTGATTTGCCTTCAAATAAATTGAGTAAACATGCCGTCTTGTTTTTGCTTCTCATGAAATCTACTGTTCTGTGTGAAAAAGCTACTTAAGGGGAGGGGTTTAGGGGGCTACCCAGTGGGTGCTCAAGTCATAAAGTCTCTTCAGAGTCTCAATGCTAAGCAAACTGTTTGGTATTGGTTCTAACAATGTTGGTAGTATGTTGCTATTTCTGCCTTAGTAAAGTTGTCCTAAGTTTTCTTAAGGAAGTTTATCCGCCGAAGATTTATCTGACAAAATTTTGTGGAGCTGATGTAGTAGTCATTGAAGAGAAAAATCACGGCTCGCGGCACCGGCGTAGCTGTCCCAGCACCTCTGCTCTAATTTCATCTGTGTACGCCCAAGCAAACTCTGTAAACGTTCCTTAACTACTCTCTGTTAAAAGCTCAATCATTTGATTGACAGGAAGGGACTCTGTGAGGAACCCTTGAATAAGCTCAGGCCCCGTCTACACGAGTACGTTCTCAAATGAAAACGCAACATAATTCTTGTGTTTTAGCTTACTGTCTATATGAACACGGAAAATCTGTGAATGAAAGCGCAACTTTTTGAAACGCTTTCCAAAGTGAATTATTTGAAAACGCATCGTTTCCGTATAGACGGTCGAAAACGCAAGTTTTTGAAAACGATTCAACAAAAACTCAGCAAAACATGCGCCTGCGCAGATTTGTGCGTTTTCATGTAGACGGAATGGACAATGTGAAAACGTGTGTGTAGACGGAAAACCTTTTATTCGTTTTTATCAAAATTGAAACGCAATTTTTGAAAACGTGTTCTTGTAGACGGGGCCTCAGACTCAAAGTATAATTCAGTATATGATATTGATTACAATATATAAGGGTCTCATGATTGCTAATTTGCTGTAAGTTGTTTAATATAAAGTACCTACGGATCTTGATCACGCCGCCTTCAGTTTTGTAAGGAAGATGATAAAGAGAATTCACAAAAACACAAAGAAAATTTACAAAAACACAGCAAAATGTTATTTATAAGGCTACATCTGTTGTAACGATGACCTGCAAAGTACAAAATAAATCCAGCTCCGAGTGCTGATTTCAGGCACGTAAATACAAGGGGTATGTGGGGAGGGGTATCACACCCCAATCTTTGGAATTTTGTGGAATTAGTCTGAAAATATGAGAGTTATCGGAAAATCCAGATTATAATTACAATGCTATTTTTATTAGAGAATAATATTACATAAGGCAAATGTCAGGCGCACTTTTAGAGCAAGGGGGCAAAGATAAGCTGAGGCGTATTGTACATTCTTTCTACTTTTGCTGTTGTTTTGTAAGAAATTTTAATGAAAGCAACAATGGATTGGCTGAAAGCTAGTTTTTGGACAATTTTCATCGTAAAATTCTTGCCTTCAGACTAGCCCTCCACCCACAAAATTACGGCTGTTGTTTCTCACATACCAGAGTGTAAACGTCTGACAATAGATAAAAATAAGGAGAAATTTATGGATTGAATGTAACGCGTGAGATGATGAGTGATAGATTGATTGGTCAAAAACAAGTAACCAAGGCTAATTTGGCTATATCTTGTTTTATTTAGCAGGGTAAAATGAGAAAGATCTTCTGGAAGGGTCAATCTGGCAGCTAGCAAAATCGAAATATTAACGAATGTGAAATTATAAAAGCGTTAACCCAGAAATTCCTATTAACCCGAATCTATACCAGCTCGTACGTGAAACTGTCTAAAAGAATTTTTTGATGATAATGAAGTTCATGATGATAAATTTTATGATGAAAAAGTTCATGATGATAAATGGCTTTAATTTTAGCTAAATTTCAAACTTACTGAAGATTTTCGTCTGACAGTCTTCAGGGTATAAAGCACCAGAATATAGACCAAAGCAACCAAAACACAAAGTTGGGAAATATCTAAACCAAATTGTGGGTCGAAAATGGGCCAATCAGAAACGCGAGCACATGATTGTAAAGGTTCCAAAAACTATTTAATTATCTAGGCTCGATTAAGCATCTAAACCGTAATATAACCTTCTTATGATGGGTAAAATTGATAAAACTTCACAACAGATAAATAAAATGATAAACGTAAAAAGTAAGACTAACAAATTACTTAACGATGAGGGTTAAACACTAATCGTTGTTACAATAAACATATTGTTCAGGAATATGAAGCTCCGTCTTCCACTTCCACGAACATTCCATGAACTTGAAGAAGCGTGAATTTGTTGTGTATCTTTTAGCTCTAGCTTGTGTATAGTTTGTATGGCTCTTTTAGGCGTCGTATTCCATAGAAATTGACATCTTCCAGTTTACTGCATTTGAGGAATGGTGTATTATCAAAAGTTTAATCAGGCAGCCTACTTACCCATGCCTACCTATGGGTACCCGAGCCAAGAAATTAGAAAAGAAATATAAGGGCAGTGTCTCCCCTCCTCCCTTCAAATGTTCTAGGCGGTGTTGATATCGAGGCTGGATGCTGATATCGAGGCAATCCACTGGAAAATTATATTATTACACGTAACGACAGTTGTACAAAATAGAGATACAATTAATCATACAATTACAAATACAAATACATATAATACCTATATACACATTTTCAATTGATGTCTCATTGATGATATCTTTGAAGTCAATCAGATTGTTGTTATTCTCTCTTCTCTTTCACAAAGCTTACACTTATTTTTCAAGTGTTCACAGAGTGCCACATAGGCATCGTCTCTACCTAAAGTCCGAAGGCATAACAGCATATCAAGAACGGTAGTATTTTTTGTTACCAAATAGACAATCAAAGACTCGGAAGGACTTTCACCAGCTTTAATCTTGCTTTTCCAATCATCAACATAGTTTCTAGGCACACAAAAGTATTGGGCAGCCTCTTTCCAGTTTCGAATTCCACTGCGCTGCATATCAAGTTTTTCTCGCAATAAAGTCTTCTGACACTCACCAAGCTCCTCAATTTTCTTTTCGACGAACAGCAGGCCTGACTCAATAATATCTAAGAAGGTCAATTTTTTTAAATATAATGTAAAGCACGATAGTGTTCTTATAAAAAAAGCTTTCATAAAGCAAGGTTTCTCAGCCTCTTGATTCGAAGAACGTGGAGCAAATTACGGGTTTGGGGGGGGGGGGGGGGTCTACGATCTGGGGATGGGCTAAACATGCTAAAAACAAAGAACAATGTGATCTCTTGAATTGGTTTAAGTACACTTTGGAAATCATTTGGAGGAGCTAAGCCCCGTCTTCACCCCCGCCTGTGTCCGCCACCCTTGCATGATTCGCCATCTCACGCCATCATCAACTCTATTTTTCGTGAAAAGAAAGGCGACGGCCTCCCTATCTAGCATTAAGTCATGAAAAATATTCGCGAGCCACTAACTTTTTGAAATACATTTCCTTCAGGTATCAATGCTAGTATATACAATGGCTCTAAACTGGATTTATTGTTTCTGTTCTAAAGGCTACTTCTGTCTGGCTTATATAATGCAATCACAAAACTTAAATGCTGTAATGTTTCGAATAGACCCCCTTTACGAGCCCCTTCTCGAATACGCACCCCTTGAATAAGTCCACTTATGGTACTGTCAAGTTTTGAAAATAAACAGCCAATTGATTACAACTTCTTTACAATCTTGTATTAGAGCACAAATATGTAGCAATGTATAATTCAATTGAAAAAAAATTTCACCCATTTTATTTATTTATCAGTGTTCAGGTTAAAAATCTGTTGTTTTTTGCATTCAAATGCGCCTCTCCTTAAGAATTTTCATGAGCCTTTTGGTAAAGCCTCTCTCTAGCATCAAGTTTTGTAATAACCCCCGTGATCTATAAAAAAGACTGGACCGAGCTTCCTGTTGTCTTGAAACACCAAATTTTGAAACCCACTCCGTTTCAAAACAAAGAGGGCCCCAAACAAATGCTGGAAGCCATTCCTAAAAACCAATAATTGAATGATATGGATATTCGAGAGCTGCAATGCTGTGTGTATGGGTGCTGAAAAAGAACAAGGCCAGAGCAGTTAAAAACATTACTAGAAGTGAAGGCCCTTTCCCCGCATAAGTTGCTCTAGGGCCCTCTTCTCGGATGACGACACTCTGGTCACAATAAAAGCTTGATCCAGTCGTTTTTTATGGACCGGTGAATGGCACTCCGCAAACATGGCTGTTAGTTTTGTAGGGCATGCAAGTGTTAACTGTTTTAAAATGATTTATCTTTGCTACGTTGTCAGAACATGTTATTACAGAATAAATGCGAGCAAGCTCTGGTAACTAAATATTAGTTTATTTATTATCCAATATAATATTTCTTTGTCAAAAATCATTCGCCCGTATATTGGATTCTTTTTCATCCTCTCTGGTTCTATTGTTGGCATAAACAAATTTCTTATGACTGCTTGCTTATTGCTTAAAATGTAAAACATCTTGCATTGCATGGCATTATAATTCTAATATATGTAACACTAACTAACTCACCGCATTCTCTTCTATCTATGGTCAGCTTGGTTGATGTTTGCCTGCATATAAAACATTTTCTTTTAGGTCCTTCCGCATTCAGCTTAAACTTTGACGAATCTGCTTTCGTATGTTCCACTCTCATCGCATCGGAAGACAATTTTTTTACCATCGACCCGTTCCAGCTATTTTCTGTTGCATTTTGTTGGAACACTTTGACTTGACTGGTAGAATGTTCGCTTTTTTTACCATCAATTAGCCCTAGTAAAAAAATTAGTTCTTTTTGTAATTATATATACAATGTCAAATACGCTTTATTTAAATTGCAAACTAGTTTAAAATAACAGACATCATTCAGTTTTCAGCCCATTCATCACGTCCTCTCTATAAGACACAGAATATTGAGAATTATACCGCTCTAGAACCATATCTCTTGTTCAGTTGATACTTGGAACATTGAAAAGAGCTGCGCAAAGGCATATTATCACATTCGCCTTGCTTTTTCTTGGAATTATATGGAGACTTTTGGCAGAGAATGATTGTACAATCACGAAAAGTGTTGTATAGAAAAACCTTTTAAGCTTTCTTTTTCTAAAGTTTTAAACAAATTAGTAAAGACAACTTCTCACCCATTGTACAGCCATCGTCTTGGTCCATTGGCACAGCTTTGTTACATGGCTCTGCATTTGTAAGAGAAGAACGATGTTAATAGGTATCACCGAGTGAAAGTACATTATTTCACATTTACTTGTCTAGTTCGGTCTATGCATGGGCATAAATATAGAAATGCAAAAAAAATTGAAAAACGAATAGTGTTTCGATTGAAATGGAGCTGTTTATCCGAGCAAAGCTTTGACTCTTGCCCAGGGATGGACTCACCGGAAAGTTATGGGAGTTTGTCATCCCCAAATACTTTTTGTCATTTGGTGAATTTCGCATTGAATTGGTAAATAGACTTTTTAGTAGTCATTAGTAATTGAATGATGCCAAGGTTTTGCTTTATTTATCTTCTTATTTTGTTCTTCTTAAAGTCAAAAATTGAATTGAAAAGAATCGCACTTCAATCTTTTCCAGGCTCCTTAAAGGTTTATGCCTTAAAATCCATCCACGATTTTAGCTTTTATATCTTGGGTACTTTTTGCAAAGTTTCATCATTAAATTTTTAGGCAAAGTATATCAGTAGAAACCAGATTTGTACCTCGAGGAAAATACTCGGATTGTCCTTCACAAAATTGTTCCAGCTCTGGTGCTCCAATGTCACTTTTGAACGCTGTGAGTTCTTGGCTCTTTCTACTTTCAACCTCAGTGTTCTGTTTTTTCTTCTTTGAATATCTCAACTTAATGTATATGACAATCAGTACAATAAAAAAGACGATAAGCGAAAATCCAATGACAGCTACCAGAAGAAAATGTTCTCTCATTTCTCGCTCTACAAAGATGAATGATGTTAAATGGTTTTTAGTTTTGATTTGACTGTGAATTAATATTCAAGTTCTACTACAACAATTATTATTAGCATAAAGAAAACAACGAAATAAACCTAGATGTAATATAATTCCTAAGAAGCAGCTCTCAAAGTAGGCAAAACAACGAGACGAGAGCCCCCATCCCCCACCCCTGCCGTTTGTCAGAACCATAAACTAAAAAGCAATGCTAGTTTTTGTTAGTTTAATGTTATGAATTGTTGCTAAGTTTATCGAGCGGTAAAGCGTAGCAAATTATGCCTGAAAATGGATTGCAAGAAATAACAGCGATGAATAGTCTGAAATGCATAGCTAATGTGAAAAGGGTGGTTGCACATATTTACTATTGGCTCGCAGGGGGCCTCGTCCTTTAGTTTTGCCCCAAGGCCTCTAAAACCTCTCGGGCATCCTTCTCAGATGTTTAGCGGTATATCGTTCCATGGTTTAGTCAGTCAACCAGCATGCAAAAGGAGGTGACGTTTTAGAAACTGAGAATGGGCAGGATAGGGCTGCTCCTGGTACTATATGGAGATTGGTAAAATACAATGAAACTGTATTCATTTTCAATAAAAATTTCATCAGCTAGGGTTTTTCTTTTCATTAAGGAAATTGATTCTCATCAAAGTTGTATGGAATTGGGAGAATAGGGGACCGGATCCCACTTTATACTGACCTGAAAATAACTTTACACTGAAAATAATGACCTCTAATATATTCCAAAAAGCAAGAAATTTCGTAGGAGTAAGGGTAGGAATATCCGTTCTAGACCACATTCAAACTTTGGGTGAGACAAGTGATAGAAATCTAATGAAGCTAAGTAGCAATATCTATAGAATTACACGCATTTTATGAAAAACAGATGATAAGAAACGGTAGGCTCAATTTTTCGAAAGTTAAGAAACAACCCTTCTCAAATTGAAAAAAGCTAAGAACCTATATAATTTTCAGTTTTAATTTTCACTTAATTGACACTCGGAACTTCGACATGCAGTTTGCATTCATTCTCAGTAAATTGCACACTCAAGAAGTTTCCCTTGACTTCAACTTGACATTGATGAAGTTCAATAAGCTTAACTGTTTACAGATCTCAACAGAGTTAGTCATTCCAGGAAAACAAAATTCCTTGATCACTTTGTTAGTTTATCTCTGAATGTAAGTGAACTATTTACTTTACCTTGGAAGCACGTTTAAAAAAATAATTACCAAAAAAACATGTAAGAAACTTTTGATAGCGAAATGGTCAAACAATTTAAGAAACTACCTACCAGCACCGGACCTTAGTTTCTTATAAAAATACGTGTATGCTAATACCTAAGAAGCTTAAATGCACTGTTCGTTCGAGTAGGTAGCATAACGTAGAAACCTTGCAGGTTTAGGGAGCTTAACGGCGTTGTACCGCGTTACCCCTCAAATGCCCCCCTGCTCAGCATGGGCGTATGAAATACATGATGGAATGAATAACAGTAATTTGCAAAATGCAGTATATTGTTGTTGTTGTTGTTGTTGTTGTTGTTGTCGTTGTTGCTGCTGTTGCTTTTGCATTTATAACGTTGTTGATTGTATGTATTTATATTGGTAGGTTTGATGAATTCATTTCTTGTAGCTTAAAGCATACTTACTTTTGTCTTTATGATCAAGCTGAGGAGAATTCTCATGAACCCGGGAATCCGTCTGGGGCGATTGGCGAAACGAAGTAGAAACGGATACATGGAAGGGTGTTGTCGACCTCTGAGTAGGTTGTGAAACGCTGGTTTTGTTTTGCGCTTTTGTTGAGGCTCTTTGGGTAGAGATGACTGCTTTTGCAGAAGTAAGAGCTCTCTTCAAAGTTGTTGTCCCTTTTCTGTATGTTACTGGCACTGTTGTGCTAGTTGTTTTTGCTTTTGTGACTGCAGTATATATTTTCGTTGCCTTTGAGAGTGGTAGATTGCCACTTGCTTTCGCAGTCAACACGCCTGTTAATCTAGTAAAAGTTGTTGGCAGTTTAGTCCGAATTGCTGGTCCAGAGTTTGGCGTCTGGATCTCCTGGGATGTTGACACAATCCTCTCGCAACCGTCCTTTGCTTCTCGATACCTTGATTGTAAATAGATTTTCATTTAGACATCAAAGCTGTATGAATTTTCAGACGGCATTGGACGATAAACTGATGGCTAAAAAGTTGCAATATTTTAGACTTACAAATGACAACGGTCTATGACCTTCTTGAAGAATTTAAAACATAATCTTAAAAACAAATGCTGATAGAGCTAGATTTCCTGACAAGAAAGGTGGAACACGTTAGTTTTCAAGGGCATTCAGCCACAACCGTTAGTTTGATGGGAAACTTAGTGTAAGACTAGGAAGTTTAGTTTTGCGCTACTTGTTTGGTATTTGCCAAATCTATCAACATTTCTCTTGAGGTAAGAAGGGGGCAGGGAGCTGAAAGCAAAAGCACCAAGAAAAGAGAAAGCAAAATGTAAATTGCTGGTGGATCCATAAAAATGTGGCAGGAAAGGTAGTTTGTTAACTAAACCACCAATAGAAGTGATGAGAATCTGCAATTTAGATGGAGGACCCAGACGGACCCCCTTTAAACAATGCTTGAATTCGAAGAATAGGCAATTTTTCCTGATATTCATAAAAATATTACAATGCAAACTACATTCTATTATACTTGCTAATTACCTCTCTACGATACTACAGGTATGATACCATAGGGAGCAAAGGACAATGAAAACCACATGGCCATTACAAGCAACTAGACAAACAAATACTGCACGCTACACGTACACATAATAAATGTTACAGAAAAGAAAAAGAATATATATAGATATAAAGAAAATTACAGGTACATGATAATACGTTTTAAAAACTTAAATAGCAAATAAGTGGGTGAGGCACAAGATTTAGGGATATTTAATGAAAATGATCATATCAAAGCGTTCCGTTCTTAAAATATACAGGATAGTAGATTCCAGAATGAATTTATTTACTTTAAATGGTAATTTTTGTCACCGGAAAAAAGAATCTGTAAAAGAACAGGGTTTTGAACCAGGCATAAGATTTAGGGATATTTAATGAAAATTATCATATCAAAGCGTTCCGTTCTTGAAATATACAGGATAGTAGATGCCAGAATGATTTCGATTGACAGAATGACAGAAAAACAGAATGACAGAATGATTGTGGAAATTTAGTTTGCTCAACCATACTCTAAGTTGAGTTAATAGAGAAAGGCCTCGTGGGTCATAGATACTGAAAACAGAGTCAGGAAGTGGCATAATGATCGATAGCAATCTATTTTGGAATATATCAATAGATGGCGATTCTCTTATTTCTGGGTCGAGTTTACTCCATTCATGCTGTTGGGGAAAAGCTTGACTTGTATTTTTCAGTTCTTGCTCTAATTTGTCCAACAACGGGTTGATTGCGAAAAGCATAATATGGTTGATTCATCAGTGGGATAGGATCTCTTGTATTATCTGGCATCAGATTGTTAATGATTATGTAGATCATAAAAGGTCATCTACTCTATCTTCACGAGTACAGGGATTCCCACCCTAACCCTTGATACAGCTTTTCACGAGGGGACCTTCCATGTTCCTGTTGCTGCTAATGCTGCAGAATATTGTACCGATTCGAGTTTTCGCTTCAGGATATTTCTGCTGCTATTTGGACTGATTTTCTTGCATGGAATGTGGTAAATCACATCTCTATAGTCTAAGTAAGTTCTGAATAAAGTTTGTGAAGTATATTCAAGGTTTCCCGTGGAAGGTATTTTGAAAGAAACTTCAACATTCCTATTGCTTTTCTTGATTTTGCAATAGCTGCATTTATGTGACTTATAAAAGAAAGCCTAGAGTCGAGTGTAAGCCCAAGATGCTTATGCTCGTCCACTTTCATTACTTGGATATTATTAAAAAATATCGGGGGATGATCAATTTTGTCGCTCAATGTTGAGAAATTTATCTCCACAGCTTGCTTTCTAGGATCAGGGTTGAAAGACTCAGCTGCCAGTTTAGGATTGTTTACAGTGGAAAAAGAGAAATATCATCAGCAAATAATTCAACAGTACATTTCAGTCCCTCAGTCAAATCATTTATATTTATATTAGGAACAGTAAAGGTCACAAGATTGAGCCTTGTGGAACGCCACCAGAAATATTATCCCAACTAGAAGACTTACCATTCAAAACTGTTCGCTGCTTACGGTTTGACAGAAAACTGTGGAGGAGGGTATGCAGATTTTCATGGCAATTTATCGGCTGCATATAAAATCGAAACGTCAAAAGATGAATAATTAGTTTCTAAAGATTTCTAAAACCAAAGCTTTCTTTGGCACTTACCTTTAAAATTCATCTGTCCATATATCTTAGGAAATGTTTCTATAGGCTTTATTTAGCCAACTTTAGTTTTTTCTAACCAGCTTATTGCTATATTTGTTCCTTATGTTTTCATTAATAATGTTTTCATTAAAAGTGTATTTTATTCTAGACGGAGGGCCTTGACAGTCAGCATTACTCGAAATATCACCCTCCTTAAATAAATCAAACCAACTCAAAACAAATCAAACCAAATCAATTCAAATTAAACTTAATCAAACCAAATTAAAACAAATCAAAGAAAATCAAACTAAATCAAACCAAATTCCACCAAATCAAATCAATGGCGATGTCTCGAGTCGATTTACAGCAAACAGCGCAATTTGACAACACGCTCCCTCAAGTTGAAAATGTCTAGTTGTCCAGAAATTTCTCGGGGTGATTTCATATACTTTGTCTAGTTATTTTCATAATGACGTCACAACAACGTTGCTGCAAACTTCATAATGACGTCACACAACGTTGCTGCAACGTTGCTGCAACGTTGCTGGGATGTTGCTGCAGCGTTGCTCGTTTTTCATGAACATTGCTGAACATTGAATACTACTCAGAGCAAGCTATCAAATTACGTATTTAACTTTGTATCAAATGTTCGTAGCGTTGCTATAACCGCTACAATCACTCTGCTGAGATGCATCTACTGATTGAAATCATAGCAATCGTTTCACAAAACCATTTAGAAAAGAAAACTAAATGAACTTACCCTTCTAAGCACTTCCCACAAATGGCATTGCTTTCAGGGGTACACGGCGTTCTTGTCTCCCTGTTTTGAATGCTGCAAACTTCACAATTCTCGCAAGCATAGAATCCACCATCTTGGTCGATATATTTGCCATAGGTTCTAGTGGGACACCATACACAAGGAGGGTCAACTTTGTTCCCTTTATCGTCATATCCACAATTTTTGGTCATCTTTTGCCCAAGCCTGCATGGTTTACATCGCTCACAGTTATTGATCTTTATAGAATAATGGTACAAGTATTGGCAATGTCTCCGAGTAAAATAAGGTGAAACCTACAAGATTAAGGTAGAATAGATTATAGCCATACATACTGTGAAACAGGAACTGCGGAAGCGGGAGTGGGGGCAAGGGGGCTTTAGCCTCCCTAAAAATTTCTAAAATGTACTCAAAACTATACAAAAATCGCCCTGTTCTTGGTTTCTAGCATGCTGGCCCCCCAAAAAACCTTACAGCTCCCTCAATCTGTAATATACTCCGCGGTTCTTGCGTGAAATCTTGCGATAGTGGACTTTAAAGAGAAAGAAAAAAACCCAATGAATAGCGCAACTACTTATGTCTTTTGAAGCGTGAAAAGACATGACCAGTTGGACATCTAGTCCCAACTGTGAAAAGCATTTAGATATTGCTACGAATATACTGACCAAAGAAAAAGGGGGAAGGGTAGATAACACAACGGAAAAGATGGTTTTGATCAATGTCCATTAGTTATAAAATCCAGGACTTCGGCAAGCTGACCAAAGGTACCAAACTGGGGGCAGCGGATAAGATTTGAGGTCGGTAATCAATGGAAGGTTGAAATAAAAGGAGGGGCAATGGCCAAATAAAAAATGAAGTATTCGGTGGGGAGGGGGAGGGGGCTTTTTATAGATAATTTTTCTGAAGAGAAAGTATTGTTGAAAATGAAATTAAGGTCGTTAAAAAATTTCGAAATTTTGGTTGAACGTTTTCGTCGATTGAACAAAGAGGCTGGAATATAGGGCAAGGGGTCTTCAGAAATCTGATTAAGAACAAACGGGATGAATGGGCAAAATTCTGATAACATCTTAGTTAAACTTTTTTTTTTGGGGGGGGGGGCAAGGGTGTGAGCTTGAATGTACTTAAAACCCATACAAAAATCGCCTTACTCTTAGTTTTAGCAGGTTTAGCGCGCTAAACATTTTGTCCACTGAATGTGTAATATGCTTGTCAGTCGTTGGGCCATAAGGATCATAAAAAGCCCAAATAAGGGAAAGAAGGAAGAAGCTAAGGAGAGAGGGAGGGAACATTTATTTTATTTTGGTTTTGAAGGAGAACAGTTTGCAGAAATCGGGGAAGCAAGAATAGGGTAACTTGAATTGGTGAACATCTTGCTTGAAGAAATTTTGAGTTATGCTCGTTGTCCTAGTTAGGGTTTCTAGCCGATATATGAGCTGTTTATAGGTCATGTCAGTGATTATAAATATTTTCAGCAGTGTGCTAGTAACTCATAAGAAAATAACACAGGATTTCTCACAGTTGAAGGCAGGGGGCATCAGCCCCAACTTTAAGTAGAACTTCTATGCATAATTTTACGAATCGTGGTGCGTGAATGTAATCAGACTTCTTAGATGCAGTTGGCAAATTAGCCTGTGTCAAACAACAAGCGTTGCCCCCACTTGAGGGAATTTACCCCCCTCCCTTTCCTCCGTCGGTTCTGGGAACAGGTTACAATTGGTCCTTCCTGATCCTAGTGATTTTTGTATCTCTTTTTGTCTTGCGCGTTGGTAACTGTGGATGTGACATTAACCATAGCGAAAAGTTAGGCTTACACAAAAGATGTCTGGCGTAGAGAGTAATCAACTAAAGGTCTAATTAATTGAAAACAAACCAAGCATTATCGAACGTCGTTTGGTTTGCATTTCAGTGACAATTTGTGATGACTACGAACTTGCGATGACTTTCTGTGACTACGAACCAGAATGATCATTAAAGCAGAATTTGTTGAGAAAAGAAACCTTTAAAGGGCTAATAGACTATATAGTAATGAAAACGAAAGTCATTGGAATTTTGAAGATAATAACAAATAACAGAAACATCTTTGTTGTAAAAGAGTAAAATGTTAAAGATTGTTACCTGCAAAAAAGTAAGCAAAAAGATGAAAATTCTCGCCGTAGCATGCATGTTAGCATGTACTTGACGTGCTTCCAACTATCATTACAAGTGTTTTCCCAGTTTCATTTTGGTTGTTATACGGCAGAATGATTTCTGGTCACGAGGCCGAACGTCCTTCTTAGAACTATCTTACAAAATCGAAAGGTATTGTTGTCCGAAGAGACATCTGAAGCTCCTGAACCGATTGTTAGATGGATAAGTTTAATAAACCCAAAATAAAAGTTTGCTAATCGCATCGGACCGCAACAAAGCAAAAAAATGAAGTGATAATCTGGGCAGAGAAAGGGCGGCTTTCCTAGGAATCAAAATCATCAGTGCCTGTCTTGGAAGACTCATTTCGGCCAACCCCCTCTTTCCCTCTTTCGATCGATTCGACCGCTTTCGTTTCAGTAGAAACTGGGCTTTAGACCAATGATGGTTCACAACAAAATAAACTAGAGGGTGCCTTTTTCTGAGGGGCGATTCACTCTTGAAAATAGCGTACGAGATTTTGCCTAAACAAAAGGATTACGGTGATTTTCAGATGAAACAATAGGATTTTCACAAAAGGTGTACGATATTTTCTTAGAGTGATTTGCCCCTCGCCTTTTTCCCATGATTTGTGTGATATTTTTCTCGATCATCAACATTGCTCTGGTGGGCAGAGGCGCTGAAAGCCACCCCGGGCCCAGGGGCAGGCCCAAGGTTTGTGCCCTTTCCTACCAAAAGCAATAAACAAAAACGGCGCTCAAAATAGATTCAAAATGCATGTAATTGTCGAGATTCGTAAAGCATTGCCAAGTATAGATGATATTATTACCATGTTATTAAGAGTCATATTTGAAAAAAAGACAGTTGGGTCTTCTTTGCTTACGAGCCCAAGGGCAATTGCCCCTGTGCCCCCTTTCTCACTGGTTTTGTCTGGGGAAGGGGAGTGGAAGTTGTGATATTCGGAAAAATATTAAAAATATAAAAAACCCCAAAATTCTGAGTACTTTTGACTGACACCAGTAGGGGCGTCAGACATGAAGGTGGAGAAGGGTAGGGGTTTGGAATGACAAAATTAAAATTTTTAGGCCACACACTTTTTCTACGAGAAAGTATCTTTTTATCTAGAAGGAGCACCCATGTTATCATCAGGTAATGCCAAAAAATATTTACCGAACAGTGTAATATTTACGTTTCAGTTATAAAAAGAAAATATTGTCAACTGCCTTCTTACTGTCACAGCTTTTTATGCTAAGACATTACGAGATATCCATTCATTTTCAAATTTTATAACGAAAAATTCGAAAGTTAAAAAGGAAAAATGGAGGTCAGCTTTCCTAAGTTATTGGGGTTATTGGGGTAGACAAGGAAACCTGTCTTTTTTCATAGAACCATGGGAACATTTCGTACTTTTAATTGGGATCAAGGGAAACATTTGAAAAGATGTTGAAAGTCTTTTGGGGAACATTAAAAGGATTTTTAGGAAAATTTTCAGGAAACATAGAAATACCGACCCCCCTGGGTGGCTTGTTAGTTGTACGCCGTGAGTTCTGCTTTTAATGACTAAGTCAGTGGAGCTTATTTCATTTCCGAATCATATTGCTACATGGGTCCATTCAACGAACCGTCATTAAAAAATTGAATTCAATTACATTGTACATGCTTCTCGTTCTCAAATGACGACCAGCCCAGCTGTTGAAATAAGAGGAGCTGGACTCACAGGGTGACAAATGAGCCATCTGTAACAATCCTTCTCTAATTTCTGCAATGTTTTCAACTTAGTTACCCCCAAAACATACTTTCTGCATCTGATAATATTATTTGTTGGCCTTTGTTGGCTTGGCATTCTACCTTTGCATATAATATGTCTCTGCTTTCTCTATGCCGCTTGGACTTTCCCTGTCACTCCAGCCCCCTTACGTTTCCATAATTGACCCCAGGTATTTATAGCACTTCACTTGAATTATTGCATTTCTATTCATTTAAACGACGCTTCCTTTATCACGCGCAATTACTTATGCTTTCAGTGTACATTAACTTTCATTCTTTATCCTCTCAGCTTCTCTGCCAGTTTATCATGCCTTTCTGCAGTTTTTGATCTCAGTCGACCATGGTAACCGAGAGGCAATTTACTCTTGCAAATAGCGTACGAGATTTTCCCTAAAACAAAAGGATTTCCAGGGATTTTCAGATAAAACAATAGGATTTTCACAAAAAGGGTACGGGGTTTTCTTGGAGTGATTTGCCCCTCGACGGTAACTATGTAATCTGTCACCACATCAAATGAGAATGCGCTTATGGCTGTCTCCTGGTTCTATTCTTCATTGATTCTAAACGCAAATGAGTCTCAACTGACCGTCTTTGGCTGCGTATCATAAAAGTATTTCACCACGCATAAAATTATTTTTGGTACAATTATTGTTCTTGAAAATCTCCTTATACAGTATATCATATCTTGTCAAAATGTAAATAGACACAATACTACTTTTGACTGCCTTTTCAGAGTGTTTTCTTATGGTTGCTTTATGTTAGAAATATACATTCATTTTACGTATATTTTATTTGTGCTTCTAGCAGTCTTTGATACACGGCTAGCTCAAAAGGTAACATTCATCAAGGACTCCGAAGCAAGTTTGAAAGTAGGGGCCAAGGGCAAATCAACGAGCAGTAACAAAAGATTTTGCAAGATAACATTTTTTGTTTTGCAGAAATGTGGCGGGCCATTGCCCAACCGACCTGCCTTCCCCCAGCGCTGGCGGCCCCGTTTATGACCAGTGAGAAAGCTAATTGTTGTTAAGCTAACATTACGTCATCGGGTATATTTTGGCTGCCAGGAATTGCACCACGAAGTGCAACTCGAAGAAAAAACTAATGCTTGGACAAATTGTAACAAAAACACTTTTCCTATTAGACGTTTATTTTGCTTGAACTTTCTATTGGATATTTAGATTTATTGCACCGTTTTTTGTTTAATCTTTTAAAAAAATTGAGCTTTTAGTTTAGAGAGGTAGAAAAGTTGTAATTTAGACGCTAGATAGACGTTGATAAAGATAGAGATAAAGAACAGTCGCCGTTTCTCTCTCTGACGTTCTCCTACCGCCGCTAAAGTAAAGATTCAGAAGCAAGGTCGTAAGATCTTAAGCTCTGATTTTTATTGTGTATTCGTTAGGTCTAAAGAACCCACACAATTTCATGTTATACTTAATACTGATGTCCAACCTCAAATACCGTGAATCCTCGAATTAGCCCCCCAGGAGCTTATCCTCGAATTAGCCCCCCGTGAATCCTCGAATTAGCCCCCTAGATTTAAGAATAAGGTATAAAATAAAAGAATATAAGCTTTGAAATCTAGTTTAAAATCAAAATATATCCATTTTAAATTCTTTTTTAATTTGCTAGCTTCATAAAATTTCCCCACTTTTTTGCAAAACAATAGAGCTTTTCTCTAAATCTTTTGTTATGTGTGTGCAATTTTCCTTGCCCCCCCCCACTTTCCAACCTAAGTCGGACCCCATAGTCACTGTATGCATTTGATGCATTTAAAGTGGGAAAAACTTTGAAACTTCTGTCCCCCCCCCCCCAACAACAACACAAGATGCCATCTCTGACAGGTAGATGACCTAAAGAACAAGATTGACTTTTTAACCACTCGAAAAAGCCCTTCTGTTTTATACTTTATGTTTGATTTGTAGTTCCTTAATTTATGGTTCATAGAACTGCCATTCATGTAACGGAAGGGGGAGGTTGTGGTTGGTGAATTCAAATAAACCTACCCTTCCAGAATTCTTAGAAGTAGACCAAAACGACAATAAATGTTCTTAATAGTGAGAAGTAGTGTAAACACCTGGTTACATTAATACTCAACAAAATGTTAGTAGTTAAATTGGTACCGGAGTCTAATGAAAGAATTCTTTTAGTTTTAAACTGAACAGTAAACTCTAGGATTCATTGATGAATTTACGAAGGTAATATTTAACTGTTGGCCTAACATGAGTGCCAAATTTCTGGTAAGCACAGATTTCGCGATATTTTCGTACTGCTTTCAGTCCTTCACAACTTTTCTTTATGCAAATATGTATAAGTCTTTTTTTATCAAATTGGCATATTTCACACTTAAATCATATTTATTTGAATTTTACATGATGCATTATCATTTTCATTTTATATTTCAATTTGAAGGTGAATTCCAATAGCTTCTGTAATAGTTACCTTAAAGCAAATTCCCAGTTGCTCTAAAAGTTTTTTTAAAAGTTTGGAAATTCGTTTCCCTTCATTGAGGCTTTGAGCTGTCTCGAATATTTTTATCTCGCTCAATGTTTAACTCTCATAGACAACAATCAATGCTGGAAAATGCTTTTTGAAATCGCTGTTTTAAAGGATTTCACATTCCTTTAATAATAATATTTTGTTTGCAAAGAAACTGAAAGAAATGGAAAATGACGAATTCTCCTTAAACAGGGCATGTCGAGGATATGTATACTAAGTTTTATCGACCTAAAATGGACGAAGAGTGAAATGTTTTTGAACGATGTTGAAGAGTCATGTTCAAAGATGTCAAGAAAATACTTGTCTCGATAATTTTTTGCCAACTACTAAATAAAGACATCATTAAAAGCCCTTACTTCACCTAATAACAAAATTTTGTCGGTTTATTGGTAATGTAAAAAATTTAAACTAAAATGTTCTTTTTCTTTTTTTCATCCTCAAAGCATCGCATTGTTTATTGTTATCTGTTGCTTGGAAACACTTTGTATCGGCAGTGCAAGAGCAACGGCCCATGCCCTTCCTTCTGCAACCGGAGACTACATTCATGCCTGATTGTAACATCCCATCGCAACAGTAGCTGCATTTGTAACAATGTCCGTCTCTCTGTTTATACATTCTAGAAAATAATCAATGGGACATTATTGAAGTTCTATCCGAAATTATCATGTTATTGTTTATGTTAATAATGATGATGACGATGATGAAGATGCCTAATACAGTGGAACTTCCATTAACAGACATCTCTATACATTGGGTAACTCTTCATAACAGACAACTCTCAACAACGGACAGTTACTTATGTCCCAAATGCTCAAACGCTCTTGATGTTCTTTTAAACGGACATCTTTCAACAACGGTCAGATGCTTAGACTAGTCGCATCGACTGACTGCAGAAGAGAACGGACATCTTTCAACACCGGACAGATGCTTATGTCCCAAATGCTCGAAACGCTCTTAAAGTTCTTTATAACGGACACCTATATGCAATGGTCCAAACGGTATCTGTTATGAAAATCACACTGGTCCGAAGAGTGTCCGTCATATCGAGGCTCCACTGTACGACAATATTGATGATTCCGGATATTAATGGCCCATGGTATTGATAACTTTTGTTATCGAAAGTTTTATTTTTATCAACAGTGGCGTATCTAGGGCATTGAAGGTAGAGCAGGTGTCCTTGCGGCAAATAGAGGGGGAGGGGGGTGCCACACTCATTTCAATGTCTACGTTCTACGTTCTACGTTCAAACTGCCTACGTTCAACTGTAAAAACGTTGTATTACTATCAACACATTACTGCTTCTATATTATAATTTTCAGCTGTCAAAAGAATAACTTTTGAACCCAGGGGCAATTTCAGTGCTTGCCACGGGTGTTTTCCCCTAAAAACGCCACTGTTTATTAAAACCTAAACTAAAATATAAAATCTTACCATTACAGGTAACATGCAATTGAGTTGGCTGGGTTACACAGATTAAATTACTAGGACAGCACAGTTCTTATCATCGTGAATAAAGTTAAAAGAAGAGTGGTCTTTGGCTAGTTAATGTTCTGATCTGTGCCTGTAGCGACAAATGCAAAGGGTGGTACGAACAAATATTGTAAAAAGCTTAAAGAAGTTTAGAAATAATGTTGACACGTCGTTTTTGTTCTTCATCAACGGAAATCGTAATGATAATTTGAAGGTATTTGAAACTTAAATGGAGAAGAGAAAGAAACGAAACACAGTTTAGCAATAAAACATGAACATAAGAATATCAACAGTAAAACTTCATCAGCTATAAGTACAAATTAAACCGATTTTGTGAAGTCAGGGTATTATAAAACGACTCTAGACTTGAAAAGGTTTTCTGGCTGGTCAAATGACTTTTTGATAAAACGTATAACTTCATCTAAAATTTCAAAGCACATATGCGAATAAGGTTCTTTTTCTGGAAGGATAGTATGCTTTGGTTTAATCTCCCTCTGCCACAAGATATTCGTTTACACTTTAAAAGCTAGCGATTAGCGTTTCTTCTTTTTCTTGGAATGAAACGACAGTCGATAAAATCCGACGTATTTCTTAACCGTACTTTCAAAGAACCGATTTTTGATTGCTCATTTTCTCAAAAATTTTCTTCTTGGTAGTTTCCTTTCACTCAACGGCTAAAATTATCTCATTCTGTAATGTTTTTGAGAGTTTGTCCGTTAACAAACATACCTTGAGAGCAGGAACGCCAGAACGACCGAGGGGCAAGGGAGGGGGGGGCAGGCTTCAAGAAAGGGGGGGAGCAGGCATTTGAAAAATAATTCATAGCTTCTTGTAACTCTTTCGTAATTGTCATTTTATTTCGATTTTCTATAGGCAACTTGAAAATGAGCTCACTGCTGTCATAAGGAACTTTTTACAAGTTTGAAAGACTTTGTCATGAATAAGACACTAGAGTCAGAATTTTATATACTTCTCTTTGATAATTACAAAAAGGCCGGTGTCAAGGGCACTTTCTATCAAAAGGCACGAGGGGCGGTTGCTCCGCGCATGCCTGCTTTTGAGCCAGGTTTAGGTTATAATAAAACAAAACCACGTTTGGGAGCATGTTTCCTGGATCGGGTTTCTCCTTCTAGATCGTACAGTGGTTTATAGTTAGCGGCCATTTTTTGGGAGCAGCTAATTGCACAACGCAGGGTGCAACGCACAACTTGGGAAATGATTCTGTTTCTTCGATAAATATCCAATGTTCTTGTTTTTTTATGTCTTTTGAACGGTAAAGGGGTAGTAACGAAACATAAACTATAGGTATATTTAAAGAAATATTAAGCACAATAATTTAAAAAATAGTAGACTTTACTTCTTTCTACATTTGCCTTAAAAATTTTACTTTGGTCTGCAGAAGAGTAAAGGGGCTATACCCCCCTCCGGGTTTGCCGGCCCTTGTTGGAGATGATATTTATGATTTAAACATGATGCAAATGACGAAGAAAAGCGATTGCTTCTGAGATCTTGATACCTACCCTCGCGGACAACGTCCACATCTAGCATTTCTTGTCGGAGTGCATGCAATCTTTGTTCTGGAGGCAGGGAAACACTGTTTACAACGCTGACAAGGGGGTGAGGGTCTGTATATGTAAGGGAACTGGGCAGCAACGTTGAAGTATCCTTCTTTGCAAGGAGAGCAAGCAGGCGAGATTCTGTTGCCGAATTCGTTATAACCGCAATTTCTAATTAACCCAGTGCCTGGTCGGCAGTAGTCAGTGCATAGTTCACAGTCTTTTTTCGCTTTTGAATAGAAGTAGAAAAATGAACAGTATCTTTTTGAGTCAACAGGACATCTCTGTATCTGCAAAGGAACCCGGAACTTTAGTATTACTCATTGGTAGGCTTAGACAGCGCAAGCTGCTTGGGTATTGAAGGGGGAAAAATAAGAAATTGCAAGCAACGCCCTTTTTACTGTAGAAAATGCCATTTTACCAGCAGATGACGCCAGTTTTGCTAATACAAAACGCCCACGACTAACTTGTGGCTACACAAAGGCAGTTTCCAAATCATAGAATTCAAATTGAATATCATGATGTCAAATTCGATGAAATGAAAACTCGATTCTTTCGAGAAATAGGGGGACGTGTCCCCTCCATTGTTCAGTGTGGAGTCCCCTCCATTTTTATCTGTGAATTTGGAAATGTGAAATAGGAATCAATTTATAACATCAAATACTGTTAAAACATCGAAACACAACCTTCCTTCTAATTTTTTCAATAAAAAACGTAGCAACCCCCTGGCTATCGTAACCCTCTTATTGCAGTACCCCCTGAGCAACCCTCTATCCAGCCTGTCCGTTAATCAGACACTTGTAAATTTAGCATTTTCTCTTGTTCAAATCATCGTTGTCAACTGCTGACATAGAAAAAAAGAAATATTTGTGCAATGTTTTATATTTGATTTAAGAAGAGAGACATAAGATACACTGGAAAAATAACTCACCATTACTAATATAAAGATGACTGTAAAAGCCAAGATGGCTGTGCTGGCTCCCATCCTTATAAGCTTGCCGTTTCTGCGCCATTTTGCGTAGGTACAAGATTTCCTTATAAACGAAACAAGGCTTCAGAGCACCTTCAGTAAGTTTCATTTTCGATGCATGATGTAAGATACAGGAAGGCAAATTCTTCGAATTGTTTTACAATTTGAATTGTACAATTTTGTTTTACAAATATCTTGCCAAAATTTAGTATCATTTTAGAGTAAAGTAGGCTTGCTTTTTGAAAGTGTAACAATTTGTTCAGAAAGGGTTTTCTAATAACCAGAATACTATATTTCAACTTTGTTCTCTGAATCAACTTTTCTCCTTCATTTTAGGGCAGTCTGCCTGCAAGCTCCGTGCACTGTAGACTTGATGGAGAAATGTTCAGGAATTCAGTCAGGTGAATTAAATCTTAACGAAAATAGCATGAATTATTGCTTGATCAGGTAGAGGGTGCCGCATCGGCTGTAGAAAAGTCGATTAACGTGCTGATCACGTTAAACAGAATTATTTCTCGGAATCTTCAAGGGTGTAGCCTTTAAATCTGGGATTACCTAGAAGTAACGTTCTAGGAAATCCCTAGGAATGCCAATTGCCTTTCCTCTCTCTAAGACTACCCAAATAAAGGAAAATTTTAATCACTGATTGGGTGAGCAATAAGAAAAAGACGTAAAAGGAAGCCCAGGTACACTGGTTCCTGGTAGGGGCAAATATCTATTTTATTTTCCAGAATGTATCCAGACAATCGTTGCTTCTCTATTCAACGAATTCTGATAGTCAAGTTTATATGAGTATGGAAGCTATCAAACAGGGAATAAGGCTGCGCATAATACATACATTACTTTATATTTCAAAATTGCCAAAAGTTACCATTATCAAGAAAATATTCCTAGTGAGTGTTTTTTGGTAGAAACGGCAACAACCTGCGTGTAACTATAAATTACAATTCTAGTTCATCTGTTGTGATTGAGCGCCAGTAAATCAAAGCGATTTTTCATTATAACGATGATGTCTGTTTTCGTAGTCAGTGGCGTGGACATATCCACCCCAATTTTCCCGGAAGTCGATTTTCTAATTTCTCGAATTCCATTGAAAACTTTGGGGGGGGGGGGAGGGTGAGTTGGGCCGATCAGATCGATTTCGATTTTTGCACTAGCATAAAAGCCACCGTTACGAATAATGCTGCTTGAGAAAGCTGCTTGTCAAAATATTTCAAAATATTAATAAAATACTAAAAAAGGATTTTCCAAGAGTCTGAAGGGCCTCGCCGAGAAAATTTGTTTTTGTCCACCCCAGTTTTTTCGAGCTGGCGACGCCATTGTTCGTAGTTACGACTCTGTCATGAAAATCATTTATTTGAATAAAGATATCGTTTTAGAGAACCTCTTATTTTGTTGATTTAGAAGAAGAGGCCTTTCGCTTTGCAGCAGGTCAAACAAGTCACGAGAGAAATTCATCGCTTTGTTTGGTCAATAGACTATGGTTTGGTCGAAAGTGCAAACAATTCAGTTCAGCCTTCGTGGGTGTACGAAACCGAACAAAGAAAACAATGGAATAAAAATGAAAGCTTCCATTCGAAACCAAAACACAGGAACTACGTCATGTTAAATCTATCGCCGCCTTTCCAGTTCTTGTGGGCGAAGCAATATAATTTCTTAGAATATTTCTTCTTGTCCGACTGTCAACAACTCCGAAGCAAAAGTAAATTTCTTCCACAGTGGTTATTACACGACCAGCAACTGATCATCTTTGCGTAGCTCTCATCTCAAGCCTACATAAACCAAGCCTACCCTTTTGAGGCTATGTCCCCTCATTACCCTCTTTAAATAGCTCCCTTTAGTAAACGCAGCTAGTAAAGGAAGGAAAAAAAGAGCTCACTTTCGCCACGACTTAGGCACAACATAGCAATAAGGGGAATTTTTTTTAGAAGTTATCAAAGATAATGGAAATGTGACAGTTCCATTATCATTGGAGTTATCAAACGAGCGCTGCCAACATGACTGCAAATTTTAACCATCTTCTGCTAGTCCAAGACAAATTTTTTTATCCCCTCCCCTACCATATGTACCTGCTATTCTCAATGAAAAAAAGCTCGTTGGGCTTGTTATACAGGGATGTTCTGAATTGCATACAAAATCAGGGAAGCCTTTTCATCTTAATGTGGTGGAGCGGTCCTCTGACTGATGTGAAGTACGCAAAATGCCAGAAAAAATTATGTCTCATGTCTGCTTTACGAGATATCATAGAAATAAGGGGCAGCCTACCCCTTTTTGCGGTTCTGGCACTCATCGTAGGGCAGGGAAAATCAAAAGTTGAGGCAAATTGCTTAAAAGATGGGCATTCTCCCTAAGAGCAACAATTTTCATACAAAACCATGAATTTTTACATGTCGAGGGCACTTGCCTATGGGGACTGTTGCCGTCCCTTTCTCTCTTGATGATGTCCCCATCGCTAGACTTTTTGACTTTGCTATTTACTGAATCGCATCATAGTGTTAATAACTCCAAGGCCGGGTACGTCTATTTGAAAACATAAAGCGTGAAGCTCGCATTTGTTTTGCTTTCCAAAAACGCAAATCAATAAACAAGTTCAATTCTTGATGAGTCTTGCATTGTACTTAAATTATTTTTGAAATTCAGTGATTTTGAGCCAAAATATTCTTATAAAAAGGGAGTAGTTCTTCCTGGTCAAATGAGTTTTCATGCTAAATATGTTTGAGCAAATCATATAAGAAGATAGTATCGTGTGTCAATAAAGTGTGATTGCGTCATTCTTTCATCGTTTGCCCTCAGGGCTCGTTTCGAGGGCCAATGCTGTTTATCTGGTACGAAAAATTTGAAGCCTTGTGCCAGGACAGCTAAATATGAGAGATTAAATTGGAGAGATGGGACCCAAAGAGCATCTTACAATTGAGCAAAGTGAAGCAGATGCACCAAGCATTGTTTGAGAGGCAATTACTCATTGGCTCCTTAATATGAATCACCCAAGGCAGCTACTCAATGTCAAGCTCTCAACATATCAAAGATCGTATATATCTAAAGCCAAGAAGAAGATGCTCCACTCTATCGTTTAAAGTAAATGGGAGGGGGGTTCAGTCCCCTCATTCTCCTGTAATAGAGCTAACGTCATGCTTTATACTGTTTTTAAGCTTGTATTTTATCAGCCAGTTGAGAGTTTCCCTTAGAACATTTTCCCTTATAAAAAACTGCTTAGGCCCACTGAAACGAAAATGTACCTATTTCGTCTATTACGTAATTTATCATAGGAAACCCCCTATTGTCTCGTTTAGAGGTTACTCAAGGATTATCACGCATAGATTAAAGTATTCTGTTACCTTCTAGAACTCTGTTATAGCCCCGATCTCAGCAATATTTCTGCAGAGTAATGTCTATACAGCCCACATCTATTGTTATATTTTGCAGTGTAATGATTATACAGCCCTCGCCCATTTTTCATACTGTAGGTGCTTGAGAAAGGCCTCTGTAGTGTATAACGTATGTTTGTTGATCTGCAAAGACTCAAAAACGTCAAGAAGTTGTATTTTTGTCTCCATCCTGCCGAACCATTTTACCCTCCCCTTCGTCAGAGTACCTGATCTAATACGACGGTATATAAACAAATTTCTGATGAAAAGGGCAAATTTAATTCTTTTCTCTGATAGCATGAAATGCCTGCAAATAGACTGAAGATGGTTGCCTTAAAAGCTCAAAAAAGGGCACTGGAGTTATTGAGTTTTCGATCTTCTAGAGGGGGGCTAATTTAGAAAAGTAAACATGAATGAGCAATTTTTTGGTTTATAATTCCATTACTTTAACAAAAAACTCAATGAATAGCAAAATAAGTCTATAATTAAACCCTCATCTCAACTTGAGTTAATCAACAAATTAGGATCATCTTCAAAACTGATTTCAAATTCTGGAGTTGAGTCGAAAGGGTCGACAGCAGTCTCCTACTGCCCATTGTGACGATCAACGAATTTACTCCAAGGACCAAACTTAATGCTCGCGATCGTATCATCCTCAAAACCAAAATAGGAGATATTAAAAAAAGAATATGATAATTTATGAATATGGTAGGTTACTTCAAGTGTACGAAATCGGTGGAGGGGGGGGTGCTTTTGAAGAGGGGGCTTAATTGAGAGGGGGACTAAATAGAGCTTTTACGATAAAACAAAAACTTTTCTCGTGGGTCGAATACAACTGAGAAGCTACAACGCAAAGAAAGGCACAACCACTGGAAAAAATATTTTGCAGTTGTAAATATTTTCAATTTCATCTATCTCAAGAATCACAATTAACCATAGATATGATTCTATATCTATTAGCGGTTACGGAATCGGGGTTGAATAGCATGTTCATAAAATCGAACCCTTAAACCTTAAGAACTGCTTGAAAATCTTTCTTTTAAAAATGGGATGGGAAGGTATTCTTTCAGAGAATCAGGTACATACTTCTGATCTGGAAATTTTGTTTTATGCTATGTTGAGCTTTCGTTTGTTGAGTTATGTAGAGCTGCATTTTTGCGCAAGATTGTTCCATTTAAAAAGGTTCTTTAGCAGTTTTGTGCATAGTTTAGTATCAAATAAAAAAATTAAGAGACTTAGAGCTAATCTCGAGTTTGTATGGTCGTACTATAGCTGATGATATAAAATCTTGGAGCATTGGCAACGAAATCTGGAGCGATCAAAAAACGTCAAAGGCAAAATGCTAAAAATAAATCCATTTGAAAAAGAATTATATGCGAATACTCCAGCAGAAATTCCCTATCACTATAAAATTTCACTCAAGCTGTACAAGTGAATGAAAATCGTGAAGTGAATGAATATATTTGCTGGTCGGCACGTTTCGTACATAAGGGTGCAATGACCGAAAACCACTTTATTTGTAATTTTCTTTGATTCAAGGATTAAAGAGTTTTCACACCTACTTCGGCGCGATAAGGATTAATGAAACAACTCGGCGGTGCGTGCAAAACAGCAATAATTTGTTTGAAATGAGCTTTGCTTCACGCCCTACAATGCAATGCCGAATTCGTAGCACAAAGCGGCATCGGTATGACCGAATGCTTTTTTAAAACTTTGAGGCAATAAAGATAAGAAAGCGTTTCAGTTTTTAGAGTTCTTGAATCCTGCAGAAAGGGAAGGGAGAAAGAGGAGGGGATTAAAATAGGTTTGGTGAGACACAAATTGATAAATATTTACTAGAATAAAAAGCATATAATACATCGGATGTACAAGCATGGAACAACAAAAGTAAAGAATATTTACATAAGCAAAATTGTCTTCACACTGCAAATGTAGCCGATGCACCTGACAGGCCCTGTTTCCTAGCGGATAGAAGAAAAAGATGTTCTAAGCTAAAACAAAATTAATCTTTCAAAAATTAATGAAGCTTAATGAACAGAATTCTCATTCTCCTTAAAAATTTCTTATGCTATCGATGCAGCAATCTAGATTCCACGTGTAGAAAACTACTTTATGGCACAAATCCACGATTCGCAATCAAAAAAATATCATCCAGTTTTTCGTAGGCTTGTATTGTATTGTATTGTATTTATTGTATCGTATTGTATGGCTATTCTGTTTTGTTTTGTATAGTATGGCTTTGTATTGTATTGCATTGTATTGAATTGTATTGTATCGTTTTTCTGTTTTGTTTTGTATAGTATTGCTGTGTATTGTATTGTGTAATCTATTTGATGCTAATTTTCACAATAGTAACTAAACATTGACATGCAAAAGCATAGAATACGCTCCTTTTTATATGAATACAATAAATTTCTCCTGCCTAAATATTCTCAAGTGAATATCGCTTCAAGCCTGATAATATTCTTAAAGTGTTCTTATTTTTTCAAATCTGATATGGGTTCAGGAGAACATCACTCACTTTTGAATAGAAACCATAAATTTTTAAAAATAAGATATGTCAGTCAAACGATTCTCTGTAATCGCAAAAATCGCGTAATAGGCAACTGCTGAAAAACAATGGACAAATTTGCGAGCTGAGGCTAAGCAATATTCTTAAAAAGAGCGTATTAATTGCCAAAAATTATTGTAAAGAAATAGATTTTAACTTTTTAACTGTTCTTTAGGCGTGAAATCCAAATTTTGGGCCCGTAGAAACTTAATGATCCGAGACGACATCTGATAGCTTTTAAATTTAGAAACTCATACAAATTATACTCATACTCTTTCATGAAAATAAGATTAAAGTTTTAAAGAGTTTCATAAAACATAAGAGCTACCATTGATCAAATAAGTACTGTAGCGTCTTTCCAGAGAGAGAACAAATCTTTGTACAAAAACAAATAGTCCGACAAGGCTGACGTTAATGCCCTCTCGTAAATTCTCTCTAGCTTTTCCGTAAACATAAGACAATTCGCCAAAAGACAATTCGCGGCATTGTTTCGTTCATTTACATAGATAAGGATTAGAGAATATGTCGAATTAGAACTATACATTAAAAACACAATTTATATGCCGTGTCATTCAGCGAGAACAAAAGCCACTAAATTTGAGCAGCAACACGACGTGGAATGACAAATTTGAATAGCAATTATAAAATATATTCCACAGAAATGCGTTCAGGGCGATTGCCACTGGCCCTTATTTGGCACAACTTCCCTGATCATTAAAAACTTCAAAACGAACAGCCGAATCTGAAACATGCAGAACAAAACAGAGTTAAAACTTACGCTTCATTCACAAATACGTCGAGTGAAATTTTATCAACGTCTGCACCGGTCGGATTTCTGTTGAAATTTGCTATTCCAAGATTTTCCATTGCTGCAAATAGGCAAAAAGTTTTACAAAGAGAGTACTGATAAAAATCTAAACTTAAAACTATAGAAAGATAGCTACAAAGAGAACTATTATAAATAAGTAACAGAAATATAAACTTTGTTTCAACTGGACCATTAAAAATCGAGATTTTTATCCAAGAAACTTGAGCATATAGAAACAAATTCATCTAAGTGATGCTATATTCGTTTTTATACGAAACTAACCTCTGGATTGGCACACAGTATCCTAATTTTTTGTTGATTTCAGAGCTAAAAGTTTCTTGTCGGTTTTTCGAGTACCAAGCACTAAAGAGCTACTGTTTGGAAACACAAAAACGTAACATGAAATAATATGAAACTGAAAATTTAATAAGTCACAATGCTATCTCTTCTTTCTATTTATTCATGTCAATTAAACAGGAAACAGGTGCCGAATGTTCCAAAAGAAGTTCCACCTGATCAGTCCTGTGGTCTATTTAATAGGCATTATGAAGCTCAGTTTATCATAGATGGTTTCTTGTAAAAACCAACGTTTTGCACCAAGCAGTTTAAATGAACTGCCTCATTCTTGCAACCCTTGTGAAAGGCTGACATCAGCCAACATGATCAAAAATATGAATATTTCTCAACTGCAACTGAAAATTAACAACTGCCAATTTTTTATCATTCAGAACTGAACTGGTATTATTTAGAGGTGATTTGGTATGATTTGCTAAATGTGCAAGCTTCCAGTCACACCAAGAAATCGATAATTCATCTTATAAGACATTTGAAATTTTTTATATTTAGCTTTGCATCAATGGCAGACACATGGGGTGAGGGGCATGTTTGCCCCCTCCCCAATACTTTGGAGGACAATGTTTAAAAACAATGGGAAAATGTGATATCATCTCATTAAAACAATAAGCTTGCCCCCCCAGTCTTTGACCAAGAAAGTATAATGAAATATAAAAATAGCAGAAAAGGGGAAATATTATACAGAATATTTAGGAATACCTCCTCTCCAGACAGGGGCATAAATTGATGGATATTTTTAGAAGGGTGAAGGGTACAAAATCTCCATTTGACAATAAGCTGAGGTCATTTCCTTTCAGAACTGAGACAGTTCTCAACATGTGATTACTCTCAAATTTCTAACTTACTCAAAGAATTTCACAGATTAGGGGGGAGGGGTGTCATACCCCCACAGCCACTTGTATTGTCTGCCCATCTCAAGAATAAGACATTTGAGGTAAGGTCATAATATTGGCAAATGGACTTCAACAAATTGCAGAACTTTGCTTCTATTTCGTGCAAAAATGAAATTTTATCTTATGAAAGGCTAGAAAATTAGCAATACAAAGATACTACTTAATAACAATGCAAATCAACAAACCTGTCTTGTATTTTTCATATGA